TCCACATACGCCAGGCAAAGTGGCAGATTGTACTCTTCGGACTTCTGTACAATTTGCCGAAGGGTATGTATGTGGTCATAGACCACATACATACCACATATGTACTAAAGCCTCTTCGGAAACCGGCTTGTTCGGGAGGCTGGAAGTCGTCGAGTCTGCGTGCGAGACGGTTCGTTAATGACTCGAAAACAGCACGTAGACGCGGCTCAGAAGGGATATCGGTCTGTAGTTCTTCAAGAAGGGCGTTGTCACCTTTCTTTAAGAACAATACCACCGCACTTCTGCTCCAAGCCTCCGGAGTAGTGCCACCATGGAGGACGGAATTAAAGAGCCTCTGAAGGACTTCAAGTACCGGTTTTCCACCCGCTTTCAGAAGCTCCGTTGTAATTCCATCCTCGCCTAGGGCCCTGCCGTTTTTAAGGTGCTGGAGAGCCATTCTAATCTCGCTTAGACTGACGTCCGGGATATCATCGAAATAGTGTCGGATAAGAGTCGCTCTGGGATCGTTACTCACACTTGCGTGTGGCTCCAACGATGATGTAACCAGATGTAGGTGCAACTTAAAATGTTGTCTTTTACAAAAATGGCGCTTGCGGAAGAAAAATAAGGATTAGTATATTTCATTTACAATAATACACTATTTAAATATACTAAATGGCCTTTTTATGGGTATGATTTGAATTTCGATAGATTTTAATTTATTTATTTATTTAATTCAAAATTTTTTGTAAAATATCAGTGCCATAGGCTAGTACTCCGTTCACATATTACACACGCTATTTTTTCCAGACGGTAAAAAAGTTCATCTAGTATAGGGGAGGCCGCTAGCTTGAATTCAGGATAGGATACTCGAAGAAAAAAGACTCGTGTCTCCTAATGTCTATTTTTTTAAGTTATAATCACTGATTCTGAAATTATAAAACTCAGGATATCGTTGAGGAGGATTCTGGCTTTCAGAACCCTAATTTATACGGTTGCTGCTTAGAGAAAAGACTATTGTCATTGTTCGTTTCTCTTAAAGATTGAATGTGAGCAAAAAACACAATGTTGTTTGGCAAACTAGATTCCAATTTTGTACGTCCAAAAATAAAAGAAAGTTTATATTTTTTTCTATTGTAAATCCCATTAAAATATATTCCTCTTTCCCATCAAAACGCTAAACAGCGTTACATGTACGATACCTCACACCACCTGTTATGAACCTTAACCAATATTCTGGATGGGGCAATCGAATCTTGCAGTTAGTTTTTTCAAAATGCTATTGTAGCAAATCCGTAGGGGCTGCAGTAGGGTTTTGTATTTTTTCGGTTACAGACAAGAAACCATCTACGTATGTATGCCTCCGCTTATATCGCCAAGACACTACAACGCCGCGAGAGCCCCTACACCATCTGTATATTTAATAGCAAAGTTTAAATATAGCATAAAACAGTATATTTAATAGCAAAGTTTAAATATAGCATATAACAGTATATTTAATAGCAAAGTTTAAATTGTAGCAATAAAAATAAACAAGTACATATGTCATTGTTTATGCGCTCTCACTTATAGTGTTATGGGTAAGTTTTACGATCGTGTTGGAAATAAACGCTTGGCTTATATGTACAGTGTTAACCTAGATCGAAGTATATTTCTACGATTGCCACTAATTCGTGTTTTATGCATTAAGAGCCTACGCCTTTACGGCCGCGAGGCTGTGACCTAATAACTTGTTTCAGAGATGAGCTTTTTACCTTGAACTTTTCGTCGAAAGCATATTAAAAGAGAATGAAAATGTTGGCAAAAGATTTCACCGGAAGCTTTTCCATTTAATACGGTTAAATTAAATTACTTATACACAATTTCGCTCGTGTGTTTCTGATATATTAGTCTATTTTGTTGTTTAATTTCCTTTGAATTATTAGATAATAAATACACAGCGTTTCATTAAAGTGAAGTTAAATAAAGGAAATTTCAACAATAACGTTGAATTTTACTTAAAGTTCGGTATTAACCGTATTGCTGAAATTTTACTTAAATATTTATTACATAATTATAGTAGGTAGTGCAGCTACTTACTGGTCCAAGTTTTAACTTTCAGTATTTTAATCCAACGTAAATTACATATCTGCACTGGTTTACCCGGCTGATTGACGGAAGAGACAGTGACGAACAGCTTATGGCGGAAAATCTATACATAAACGCTGAACCCAAATTTCACACATTGGTAGAGCATTTTCGCGTAGTTGCTAAATATTCGTTGCAAGTGCAAGCCTAATAAAATCTCTCATTTAAACTTAGATGAACTAACAAAACTACTTTATAAAATTACCCATTAACTGTCGTTATACGCAAATTCTTCTTGTTGCCTTAGCAGTAGGATTTAGAACGTCCAGTTAAATGGTGTAAGTCTTGTAAGTGTGCCTTCTATGGTGTGCAATCCATACATAAACGCTGAACGCAAATTTCACACATTGATGGTATTTTCGCGTAGTTGCTGAATATTCTTTGTAAGTCCAAGCCTAATAAAATTTCTCATTTTAACTTAGATGAACTAACATAACTGATTTATAAAATTGTCCATTAATGTCGTTAGACGCAAATTCTTCTTGTTGCCGTAGCAGTAGGATTTAGAACGTCCAGTTAAATGTTGTAGGTGTGCCATCGAGGTCCGTTCTTGGCCTGCTCTTATTTCTTAGCTACTTCCCGTCCCTTCGTCCCGACTCCGCCACGGCTTTACTTTGTATTTGATGATTTTATATGGCTATCTCTATGATTGAATCATAAGAAACGTTTTTATACTTCGTTTATCACAAGTTAAATAACTATAGTTACACCTTCTTTGTGCCTGTGAAAATTGACTTTTTAATTTTAATTTTACGTCGTTCTGTTGCGTAATGTATATTCTGATCGTAAGTGACACAACTTCTCCCATCAAAAGCCTAAGCAATACTAACGGGTCGACAGGAATCAAGCTTCAAGACGCCGATAGTTTAGGTAATTTCTTTTTACTGTGAAAATAATGGTATTTAAAAAAAAGTAAATAACATAAGCACTGCTTCATAGTTAGTTCAGTTAGTGTGCAAAGTTTCATGATCTTATTTAAAGTATTTTATGAATAACAGCGGTTTATTGTTCAGTTTGGAGGTAACTTTGGGTTTTTTTCCTATCGAGAAAATTTTACGGAATCGTGTTTTCATCTAACATAGTCCTTAACATTAATCCTCAACTTTACCATATATTTATTTCAAAATTAATGCTGCGATACTTTCGGCATAACGGAGGATCTTACTAAGCCATTTAAGGTTATATTTCCCCTTAATGTATATTACAAATAATTCTTGTAACAAGTCATTTTTTAACTTTAGCACTAGTTCGGAAAAAAAACTTCTGGCCTGGGAAAAACCAGCAAGAAATCCAGCGAGACTTTTTTCAAAGCTTTAAAATTTAAAATTATGCACAAAGAAAGGTTGTACAAAGTATTTACTTCTTTTTCACTTCATCGCCATACATGCTACTTTTTTCATACGAAATAAAAATCATCATTAATGAATATATTTGTACATATATATTATATATACATTTGTACAAATAGTAAAAAACAATGGAACTTTTAGGAAATATTGTCGAAATTCCATTTACGGACAAAACGATACACGCAATATGGCATCTATTCCAAATTAGGATGGCTCTATTCGATTGCCAAGCTGCCAAAAACTAGCACTACCATAGTCCAATCATTTCTCATTTCAAACAAATGTTTAATGACGACAGTTCCTTAGCGCAGTGACTTAGCATTGACTTTCGGCACGGAGGGCCTCGTTTTTGAATCGAGCACGGATCAAGTATTTATATGACATTTTATTGAATGGGGGCGACTAACGAACACACAGTCCACCTGATGGTAAGTCGATGTTGTGGCCCAACATCTACATTTATCTCCGATTAAGAGTCAAAATTAAGATGCGATGTCACCCGTGAGGACTAGGATGGAATGCCCCGTTTCCAGTAAAAAGGATATCCGGCTCTCAACACTCACCATACAAAACAGCAGCATTAAGCTGCTATTTGATGCTTGTATTCTGTGAGAGCGTGGTCCTTCCCCGGTCGAGCCAACCCATTCGTGCTACAACCCTAATATAGCTGCAGCGTGGAGCGTGGACGTTAAAAATGTAATGTGGGTATTGTTTTAAAAAATTACTAAGTTCTTTAACTGCATATATTTAATTAGTAATTACTAAAAAAATTATTATAATTATTATAATATCATTTTTATTACTGTTATTTTCTGAAAACAAGTATTTCATTCGAATTGTACGCCTAACACTACAATTATATTACTTAAATTCTTTTCTAACGTTTGAGATCTGTACGTTTTTACTTTATTCAGTCGACAGCAAGTCAATATAAAATTATCTATCATAGTCAAGAAATTAGCCGATCATCTGTGACGAAGACAAGTACGTGGTTCGAAAAGGCTCTTTCCTTGCTCCCCACATCTTTATTGAAATAGAAACGGTACAACATAAATCGGGTAATAATAAATATTTGACTGCCTCGTTTGTCTAGAGGTTGCAGAAGTGCGACTGCTAATTATGAGGTCCTGGGTTCGAATCCCGAGTCGGGCCAAAAATAATTTATTGAGTTTTTCCGTCAAGAAATTCTCAGTAGCTGCCCAGAGTCAGGTGTCTGGGAAAGCACGTAAAGCCGTTGGTCCTGCGCCTGATCTCTCTCGGGGCATGTCGAATTACCGACCCATCGATTATGAGAGTGAGGGAATAGAGAGTGCACTGCTGTGCTCGTGCATGGGCTCGTACACTTGGGCACTACAATCCTGTCTTGCGCCGATCTAGTCTCGTTGAGGCTGATTGCCGTGATTGAAATTCGGTCTGGAGGACATTATTAGTAATGAATACAATCTTCAACAAAAACAACGTCCTTGTACACATAATATGTAGATTTTATTAATGTTAGTACCTATCCATCCTCACGTTTAGTAAAAATCTTTTTATTTGTTTCAGATGAAGATGAACAAATAAAGAGGCTGCCCCCTCAGCCCCCCATAAAGACAATGACGTATACGGTAAGTTATTAATAAATAAATATTAATAGTCCATATTTTGAATTTTTATTTATAAAAACATAGATAAATGTATGAGTATATTTTTGAAATATCATAATATAACGTTGATTAAAATATTTATTTACTTAAGATATTAAATTTGTAATAATAATATGCGTTATTTATACTAATATAGATGATAATTCTACACTAGGAGCTCGCTCTGAAATACGGTCTCGTAGCTCGTAGATCGAAGTTTGCAGTAATCAGCCGATCGCATTTTTCCTGCAGTCGTTTCTGCAAACAGCCTTGACCCGGTCAGGTTATTAGGTTATTTTTTATTAGGCTATTAGGTTATCTAAAGTAGGGCCGGTGCTCCTCGATATCGTCGGCCAGTTTCTTTCACTTTCCCATAACCCTCGGCTGTTACGTCTTTCCTGCCGAGGGCTTCCATCTGGTTGTTTTTTTAAATTTATCTTACTATTTTAATGTATGGTATTATTCGATTGTTCGACGTATATTGTATTTTATTTTGTTTATTATGTTTTATGTATATTGAGCTAAAACTAAAATTATACAGTCCTACTACCCTGAATGAAAGCTGGCTGTATTTTCTTGCTAGATCATAGGAAATACGAGTATAACAATATTACGAAGTAATAATTAATAATTTATAAGTTGGGTAATGTTATATAATTGTATATTATTAAAGTTGCAATGGATATTAAGAAATACAAACATTTTGCAATATTCTCATCTCAAGAGAACCCAGTCACCCAGCACCCAGTACCCATGCACTAAGTCCAGTAAAGAACATCATTTCAGTGCATCATTAAGAGTTCTAAACACAAAATGTTTTGGGAAAGAGGGCGTTATGTTAGAGATTGATCCAGCGACCCCGAAATCCATTAACATCAGCAATTGGCGCATAGCTGCGAAGTGAAATCGAATCACAATAAACAACGATTGCGTGCATGTGTAATTTGATTAAATTATAAAAACAGTAAGTGCTATACGTTAACAACGAAGGGCTATTATAAGAGTTCCCTGGAAGCCTAACGTGTGCGTTTGTTTTATTAACTTGCCCGCTGTTTAAAGAGCGTCTTGATTTTTGTTTTAATATTAATGAAGTCGAATTTATATTATGAAGTATCTCAATCGCTTACGAAAAGTTTCTTTTCCTGTCCCCGTCAAATTGTGTTTAGGTTTCATTTCCTTTTATTCTCCTTATATCGTCTTCAATCTCACCTGTACCCAATCACCTAAATACAACTTGATCTTGTACATTGTCCTTTAAAATGTACCTATGCCGTGTCACGCGAATTAAAAAAACGCAACTAGATTAAATGTCATTAAAAACGTTATTAACTGAAAGAATCCACGACTATTTCTACCGCCAGGGGCGCCACTTTAAAATGAGGTGTAATATTTGACAGACTTCATAGCGGGGAAGTTAATATGTTCGAAAAATATAAAGGTTTTATATGTTTCTTTCTCTACAATTAGTGATATTTTATATTAATTAGATTAAAAATAATTAAACCAAACCACAGATATTCGTAAAAGTAGAAAAATTTAAAAAAAAAGTGCAAAAAATTAAAAGCATCAAACAAAATGGAGGCATTATTTGTATTAATATATTACTTTAGGAACTGATAAACTTTTACTTAAAATTAAATTCTCAATTAAATGACATTGTGTAACAAAAAAACTTCACCTCAGTGTCAACCAGCGACATCTGGTGATTAGATTATTAGCCTCCATTAACAAAAATATTTTTTGTTTATTATTCGTATTTGGTACCTTTTCGCGAATTTTTTTTTATAAAATTACGATTGTTGATGATGGCACGTTACGTCTAATGCAATTTCCATTTTATTGAACTAGCTTCTTTTAACTGTAACACGAAGGCTAAATATCGATAATATTGACCTCACAATATCGATATTATTATCAATATAATACAAACTCCTATAACGATATTAGAATTTAATAAACACAATTATTATCAACGACTGTACATAAAACATTTATTTGGTTATTCTTTAGTATACTCAAATAATTATGAAAGTATTTTGATTGGCCATGGCATTATAGGTAAACACCAACGTTATGAGGTGTATGATTATAAGGAAATGGTTTCTTTCACTGTTTAATTTATTTATTCACTTGATTCTACTTTTTGTTTAATATCTGGTTCTGGAGTGGTTTTTTGTACATTCATTGTGTTGTCTGCTTTCGATTTTGAAAATAAACTGTGTTCTTTTGAAATAATCAACGTGTGCGTTACGTTATGAATAATTGCAAGTTTTGGATCTATTTCAATTTTAGGAACAGTTAGCCAGTACACTGAATTTCGCAAATAAATGGTCTCAGATACCTATAGGTATGTAGATATATGTGCCATCATCACTCAGTTCAGCAATCTCTGATGCCGCCCTGTCTCTAATTGAGGTACTCTTGAAATGGGAGCCCGTCAATATTCGGTCGTAACGTCGAGGTCTCTTGTCATCTCCAAATATTCCACAAGGCTTATAAACCCCACCCGGCTTTTCGTAATCGCGTGAACTACCTCCATGTACCACCGCCCTATTAAACACAACTACAAACCAAACGCTACGAAATAAATAATGTCGTCGATAAAAGATACGTGATTCGCATCAAAAAGAGACGTCATAACGGTGCGGTGGTCAATTTTCATATTATATATACCTACATAGTATTATAGTACATATTGTAATATATCTTACATGTGCAGGTTCGTGACCGTGACACGCTAACGTCAGTGGCGGCGCACTTCGACACCACGCCTTCGGAGCTAGCCAAACTGAACCGGCTCGCGACCCAGTTCGTCTTCCCCGGGCAGACGTTGCTCGTGCCCGACAAGAGGAAAGGTCAGTTCAGTATGCTCCGCTATATTGTGCCAATGAACTCAACATAATACATAATAACCTCTGCTGTGACTAAAAACAAATGACAGTTAACTGGTGTTTGAAAGAACAAATATCTCATGTATTTTTAAGCGATACTATAACAAACTATCAATATTTGTTTGTTGGTAATCGCGTTCCCGAAAACGGCTCTAACGATTTTGATGAATTTTACAATAATGGGGCTTACGGGAGCGAAAACTCGATCTAGCTGGGTCTGATTTCTAGGTAAATTTAATTTCTCCGTATTTTCACGCACGAAATAAGAAACTTGACTTGCTCGCGCAATATTATTGGCAATTTAGCCATAGATATAATCCCAAAAGTCCAATGTTTTAAAGCCTAGGTCTACCATGCCTAGTTGCCTAGGAGTGCGCGAGCTTAAATCCTACAATGTGGTTAGATTTTTAGTTTTTGTTTATTATCATTCTAGCCCACGCGGCCCCACTGCTGGGCAAAAATAAATACTTATAGACTGTTTTGTAGTTAAGTATATTTTATGAAGCTTGTTGTACTTTTTAATCGTTAGAAATAGCGTTGATCGACAAATGTTTGCTTGATTTTTAAAGAAATTAATTGTTTTATCGATATACAATCAATCGAGTTTGTTTCTCTGAGGGTTTCGCCATCAATGTTGCAAGTTATCTATGGACATATTAATATATATATATATATATATATATATATATATATATATATATATATATCCCCTCGGTCAAGATGTTTTTATATAGAATAAGGTGAACAGCGAGCTCATATTCCACCCTGATGGTAAGTGGATGCCGTGGCCCATTGACATCTACATTTATGCTCAATTGACAAAAAGCAGATGCGTTGTCACGCCTGAAGACTACGATGGAATGCCTTGTTTCCAGTAAAAAGGGTCTCCGGTTCTCTACACTCAACATACGAAACAAAGCAGCATTATGCTGCTATTTTACGCTGGTATTCTGAAAGAGCGTGGTCCTACCCCGGTCGTGCCGACCCATTCGTGTTTGTGCTACAACCATATTATAGCTGCAGCGTGGCTCTACCACGTACAAATAAGTATGTTTATAGTATAGATATAGATGTCGTAAAATAAAAAAAACATACCAAGTATACCGAAACTAAGCAGCAAATTAAAATATCAGTGGAGGTGTGCTACAAATTTATCTCATTGTGGCAATTACATCAATTAAGTCTAACCTACACGTCGTGTACAAAGTTGAACAAGTCCCGAAGGAGCTATTATACATCAAGTCGTGTAGTATTACTGTAAAATGTTAAATATTTAGTATAAGAATTAGATATTATTTATATATATATATATATATATATATATATATATAATGGAAGTAAAGTAACAGCTTATATACGCCTTAAGGCTGGGCATGGACCCCTGCTAATTACTAAAAAAGTTTTTCCAATCCGATAGTCGACTGTTTCTGTACTGTACTTTGTACTGACTGTAATAGTTTTAGTCTCAAGTAGGCATGTCGATCTAAAATCGATTAATCGATTCTTTGGAGCAAAATAATCGATTTTTAGATCGATTCGGAGCACCGCATCGATTCACTGAATCGATCCAAAAACCTCTCGAATCGGACCGATTCATCTGATTCAAGAACCAGCGATAAAATTCCCAAATTGGCTGGGGTAAGATACCGCAGTTTTTTAATTTTTTGCTGTTGGGGGACGCAAAAATACCGATCTTACTTGGTTGATAATTTGATCACAATATACAACACGTAACATCGCAATATACACACGCACTTTGAGAAAGTAGTTTATTTAGAATCGTTTACTGAATCGATTCCTATCATTTTTAATGCAGGTAATTTTTTATCCCAAAAATAATTAAAACTACGTAAATTACAGTCACACTAAATCTGTACAGTCAAAACAAACTGAAATGGACCGTAAATTAAGGCAATAAGACTTAAGAGTGCAATTTTATTTGTATTATTACTAATTCTGTCATTCAATAAAAATAAAGAAAAATGAACTTTATTTCAAGCACGTTAAAGGCTTTACGTTCGTGGATTTGTACTGTGACCACAACATTCTTCCGGAATTAGTATAACTAATTTGATAAATAATCAGTGCATAAAAATGTTTAACTAAAAATTCAGTGTATGTATTATGATTATAACATAATATACTAATTGGGGTGTCTGAGGATGTGCGTTAATTACGTTACATATTGTATATTTCAATAAAATAAATATTTATGAACGCATCCAACAATATCGAAAAGTTGTTATTTCATTTTCATTTCTAAATTTCTAATTCTATTCTTACCTGTGGAATGTTGGTCTAACTTAATCTGTGCTGTGAACAAAACTACATATACATACTACAATATAATATTATAGCTGTGAACCTGTTTGAACTGTGAACTTGCGAATTTACTTTATTATCAAAAACATACATACTGTGAGCTGTAAATACAGACGGAGTACTTTCTATATATCTAGATGCTGTAAATAAATATTATATGTTGAAGTTTATAGAGGTAAATAGAGAGAGGTTATAGAGGTTTATAGAGAGTAAGGAAATAACCAGTATTGTGTTCGTGAAGCGTTCATTTCAATTTGATAAATAGTGAGTTAATAGATTGAAACAGATTGATCGAGAAATGTACGTTGCAGTTTGCCCTTTTGTTAAAGTATTGTACACTTTGTAAAAAAAGGGATCGAGTGGCGAACCACACCTAAAACAAGCGTTTCAAGCTTACCAAGACAGGTTAAAAGGAATATTAGTCATTTTATTTAATAAGATTACTAATATTTTAATTTCAAAAAATATTAAAGTTTAATTAAAGAAAAAATCGCAAATTCTTGAAATTTCATGTTTGAAAGTATCGCGATTAATCGAAAATCGATCTCTTAATCCTCGATTTAATCGATAATCGATTCTAGTATCTTCGATTCGAATCGATTCAGAGATCGATTTTTTTAAGAGTGAATCGACATGCCTAGTCTCAAGTGTTCCCCTGCATTAACGTATGTAATTGGTTGATACGCACGAATTATACTCGCACGAAACAAGCGAATCAACACCTTTGTATAATAATATTATTATAGTAGTCGATTCGCACGACGATTTTTATTATAAAGTACATATTGGTTACGTAAGGGTGAAAAAGTAAATTAAAACATTTTGACTTTAAAATACAGCCATAAAACATTGTAGCCGTGTAATGTCTGGAGTCTAGACATATCGATTTCTTAACTAAAAGACATTGAAGAATGGTAAAGACCGCTTAGTGTACTAAGTACTAACCTTATGCGTTTTTCATTGTATTATTTATTTATCTCTCCGTTATTCTTCAGAGAGTGAACGGCAAGTCGGGAATGGACCAAATTGACGATACATTGAAAATGGGTCAAATAACCTTAACCGACGAGCATGTATGCGTATACGTATACAGGATCGTGCCAAATGAAAGTCTATAGTCTCTGCTTACCTCTCTGTGTGATAGGCGTGAGTGTTTATGTTTATGTATTATGAAAAATTTAGATCGATATACAAATAAAAAAACAATACTTTGACAGAACACCTCCGTTTACTTTTAGAATAGTGCTGCTGTTTTTTTTGTGGTGTTAATGACGAGAACCGGAGGCCCTTTTGATTAGTAACAAATTATTGTATCTGAATCTTTACGGATGACAACGCGTAGCTGCATTTCGATTTTTATTCGGTGATTCCTGAATCATGAAAACAGCGCCATCTACCTGGTACAAATGAGTTATCAAACCATCCAGGGACCCACTAAAACACACACGAAACAGAAATCATCTTTCAAGAAATCGGTCGAGCCTTTTACGAGTTTTTACGAGACAAACGGAGAGCAATTGATTTATATACTTAAACTAGCTTGCCAGGCAGACGTTGTTCTGCCGTTTTCGACGACCCTTGGTCATGTTATGTCCTATCCTTAAATTCGCAAGAAAAATTGTGGGTCACTCATGGGCAAAAAAACTATCCTGTCTCTCAAGTTTGACCAAACTGCACACGGTGTGCAAATTTGATTAAAATCGGTTAAGTAGTTTCCTAAACTACTCAATGGACTCCTGTCCATTGCGGACAAACGACGTGACACGTAATTTATATATATTAAGATAGAGATTATAAATTAGCAGAAAGATCACATGGCATTCGATGGATGATATTCATGTCGTTAATACACGACGTAAACTAACCAGACCATTGATTGATAAGAAGCAGCAACAAAAGTGCAAGATGTTTGCTGCTAAAATACTCCGATAGCTGACACGATTGCCAATGGTGGTAACTATAGGCAGTCATCCTAAATGTGCGACAGGTCTATGTCCGGCAGTGCAGAGCCCCCTGATGTGTTGCTATTACTCCGTTTCAATACTCGTCTTCCAATGTGTCGTTTTGGGACTTTAACATTAAACTAAGGTCTTTCATAATTTATTTTTCCACATTACGCATTGGCTTAAAATCCAAGATTTCAAAAAATGGAATGTTTTATACATCTCTTCTGCATTATCAGTCCCTAATAATACACAATAAACTACTAAACATGAGATTTATGGAATTTTGAAGAATCTGTCATAATTGCCACCTCTGGCAGTCAGATTGACGCCCGTAGTACTGAATGTGCTGCTCCATGGGATCACGTAAAATGAGGAGATGTAGAATGCCTAGAATGGTGATGGCACCGACCTAGGCGTTTCACATCTGACTTACTATACTGTATTTCTGTGCTTTTACATATTCGCCTTTTTTATAGAAGGTGACAATGGAGCACATAGTCCACCTGATCGTAAGTTGATGCTTTTGGCCCATAGATATCAAGATAAATCGATAAAGAATCAAAATTCAAAAACGTTGTCAACCCCGAGGATTTAGATGGATTTCCTTGTTAACAGTAAAAAGGGCCTCCGGTTCTGTACACTCACTAAACCGAAATAAGGCAACATTATCCTGTTGTTTCACGCTGGTACTCTATGAGAGCGTGGTCCTCCCCCGATAGAGCCGACCCATTCGTGCTGCAGCTATGTATAACTAGCATGGCTTCTGCGTGGCTCTACCATGTAAAATGCAACTTCCCTTTCAACATTCACGGGACGAAATGTTTTTAAAAGTGTTTAACTCGTATTATTTAAAACCTGTATAAATTGAGAAAGAGACTGCTTTTTGTGTGAGACGGATCAATCGAATAAGAAATTATTACTTGACTTGCGAAAGTCGGCCTTCGATTAAAACGCTGAGCTGTATCGTACTCGATAAAATTTTACTGCAAATAAATCGATATAACGTGTTTTTATCCCGCAATTTTCCATGTGTTAACAATTAAAGCTGATGACTTGAAGATAAAAACAGAGATAATGTAGGTTATTAAATCATGTGTTGTGATAACGCATAACCTGCATACCTACGAGTAATTCAAATGTAAATTTAAAGTACTTAATGCTTATAAAATATTTTGCATTATTTCTTATAGATTGTCTATTTAAAACATGTAAAATGCAACTTCCCTTTAAACATTCACGGGACGAAATGTTTTTAAAAGTGTTTAACTCGTATTACTTAAAACCTAGATACGAAAATATACGATTATTTAAAATCTATATAAATTGAGAAAGAGACTGCTTTTTGTGTGAGACTAATATTTACATATTATCTAAATAAATAGCTTTTTTCTGTATAACTATCTAAATATCTATTACATTTACTATTCCATCAACCAATTACAAATTTTTGTTAAACCGATGCAAACACGAGGATCATTCCGATTATAGTTGGAGAAAAAAGAAAATACAATCAACCTATTTGATAACAGTAGACAGTCCGTTTAGTGCATGAAGGAAAACAATGACATTCAGGCTTGATGTTATTGTATGACGTAGTCTTGAAACAATTTGTTTTTTATTATTTGCGCGGCAAACAAGAGTTACAAAAGCAGTTGAGACGGGCAACGGGCAAACGCGGTCGCGACACCCGCTGTCGCGTACTGTACCCAGTTTCTATTTTAATTTGCCTCAAACGTCGGATTGTCCCACATTTATTATTGCGTTCTAATAGAAACAATTTTGACGGCAGCGTGGTTTTGACGTTATCGTGCCGCTATGGATGCGTTTTATCGTGCATGATAAACGTGCGATATGAGGGATACTACGTGTCATCTGAAAATGTTTAGTTTTGAATTCCTCAAGCGTTGGCATCATGGTATATTGCGAATATAACGCATTTTGCTATAGTTTTTGTTAATCACTTTTGTGTTATATGTGACACGTTTTATTTATAATTTTAGATGGCGATAAGGATTCAGATGGTCCTTCGGAAAGTGGTGATAACACCTCTGAGTCTACACAAGGCGCTACCAGCGAACCGGCACAGGAAAAAGGTGATTCTAAACCTAAGAATTAAGTTCATTGGGCTCGATATACTGATTTATTGGTCTTTTCGAGAAAAATAATAAAAACTAGTTTAAAATATTTAATTATGCTCGGTTTAGACTGCAATTAATAAACTATTGTAATTGGTCAATTAAAAGAAAACTGTGTTGCAATGTGTACGTAACTCGTATTAATTATGGCATTGAATTCTGCACTTTTTTTACCGCACGTTATCGCAACAAGTTACGAAAACTTCGTTATCACCTGCTCGTTTAATGGGTAATGCACGATACTTCACTTTAACACTAAAAGTTTTCAATACTACGCTATAATCGTAGCTATATAAACATCTAATCTATACATTTTTATACAAATAAAGAATGAAAAAGGAACACACAGTTTAACTGATGGTAAGTTGAAGTTAATGTTTTCTGAATGTGAGAGCCATGTTATATCACGAATGAGTCGGCACGACCGAAGGGTGATCATGCTCGCACAAAATACCAGTTTGAAATAGCAGCATAATGTTGTTGTGTTCCGTATGGTGAGTGCCGAGAATCAGACGCCTCTTACCGGTAACGAGGATTCCCTCCTAACCATCATCATCAGTTAAAGCATAAGCCATCTTAAGTTCTCTGCTAAAATAGCACTCTTCATAAAATGACAAAAACACGCCTCTGAGCCACAACACGTCGTCGACTTCCTCCCTATACCTTTTATCAGTTCAGGTTGTCACTACGTGGTTTGTCGGCCAGTATGAGGTTGTCACTCGAAAAATTACAATACCTTGTAAGCTCTACGAGTACAGAAATATGAGAATAGACCAGCGTCTTACCAGTAAACGTAACAAGGCTACTATATTTTCCTAATGTTATCATTTCATTAGTTTTAATGTAAACTATACAAAATGTTAATGTCCTGTTCCAGAGATCCTAGACAGCCTGCGACCGGTGTCACCCGAGGCGCCCGCTAGCAGCAATGCCCCGCAACGATTCCTCAAGATAAATGTGCGCCATATTACCGATGGACAGGTACACAATATTTATAATCAATAAATTATACATAAAACTTATTATTAACAGTAAAGAACTTAAATCCAAAAATCCACATTAACAACTCTTTTTTTTATAGGGTAGTGTGACAAACGAGCAGACAGTCCATCTGATGGTAAGTGGTTGCTGTGGTCCAGAGACATCTGCATCTATCCTCGATTACGAATCGAAATGCAGATGCGTTGTCACCCGTGAGGACTAAGATAGAATGCCTCGTTTCCAGTAAAAAGGGTCTCCGGTTCTCTACACTCACCATACAAAACACAGCAGCATTAAGCTACTATTTTACGCTGGTATTCTGTTAGGGGGAACTCCTGGGGTATATATAAATATCAGTAAATAGAGATAACCACATTTTGTTTTTACTAATGACTGAGAAACCTGATTTTGTATCAACCGTGGATTTAAAAAGGATTAACTGTTATTGCTTTAGGTGATCTTTCTTAACAGTACTATGCACTCCGTCTATCTTATTAATTTTGTTTGTGGTAAGATGTAAAATAACCAGACTGGCAATATATAGTATAGCAATTGTAGACATATACTGTATAAACGTGACGATAACGACAAATTCTCTTATCTATGGAGGAGAATCATCCCTATTATAGACTGTTTATGGAATGATGAAGTAGATACTTATTAAAACTTTTCTCCACTTGTCAGGGTGTGGTATCGGGTGTGCTGCTGGTCACGCCGAACGCGGTGATGTTCGACCCGAACGTGTCGGACGTACTAGTGATGGAGCACGGACCGGAGTCGTACGGTGTGATCGCACCCATGGAGTACGTTGTCAACGCAGCGATATTCTACGATATCGCGCACATGCGCACCCACGGACCCGACCATAACGCGCAAAAGTATGTACCATAACACATTTATTTAATACAACAATTAAATTAAACATTAGGAATACGAGGGCGGCACTGAAAATTTCGGGAATCAAGGAAGTGACACAACATTACTATTTAAAAATATATTTATTGCTTTTCGAAGTATTCTCCGCGAAATTTGACACATTTTTCCATACGATGGAACCAATCATTGAAGCAACCATTCCATTCGGAATTTGGGGTCTCCAAAATGGCCGTTTTGTAGGCGTCCACAGCTTCTTCAGGTGATGAAAATCTCTGTCCACGCAATTTATTCTTTATTTTAGGGAAAGTATAGAAATCATTAGGGCTTAGGTCGGGGCTGTACGGCGGATGGTCTAATAATTCTATGTTTTCTTGCTCTAAAATCTCTTTTGTTCTGTGTGCATTGTGAGAACTCGCATTGTCGTGATGGAGGATGATGCGGCGGTTGCAGTTTTCTTTACGGAGTTCAGAAACGAGCTGTGGCAAACAAATGCTAGCATACCATTCTGTATTAACCGTTCTTTGTCCCTCAAGAACTAAGTCCTGTCCCAAAGACATACGTGGCCACCATTTTTTTTGCAACACTCCGTGAACGAACAATTTTTGTTGGTTTTAACTCATTTTCGAACACCCAAACTCGTGACTGGTTTTTTGTTTCGGGTTCGTACGCGTATATCTAGGATTCGTCACCTGATACGATGTTGTATACAGCATTTAAGGATCCTGCGTGGAATCTTTCGAGGGTTCTGACTCACTAAGTAACGCGAACCGCTTTTTGCTCTTCACAGAGCGAATGCGGTATTCATCGGGAAAACAACTTTTTTACACCTAATTGTTCATGCAAGATTATTTGTATTTGACTCATGCCAATGTCTAAAGTTGCCTGAATTTCGCGGTATGTCACATGTCGATCTTCCTCAATCAGCTTACGCACACATCAATGTTTTCTTGGGTGACTGCAGTTTTTGGACGATCTTGACGGGGATCATCACTGAGCTTGACACGTCCACGTTGAAATTCAGCAAACCAGCGATTAATTGTGATTTTGGATGGGGCTTCATCACCACATGCAGAAATCATCCGGTCAACAGTATGTTGTTGTTTTTTGTGTTAAACCACTTCGAAAGTCATAAGAAATCATCGCTCTTGAATTTTCTCGAGTCAATTCCATTTTCTCAACGACTAAACAAGTTTGACAAAACCTTGTGACAAGATCGAGAATCTTTTTTTTAAATACAAATAAATGGTATTCGATTTTTAAAACCAAGGAGTTTTCAATTAAAAAGATTTTAATATGATAGGAACAGTGGAAATATTCTATTCTCGATACTTTTAGTGCAGCCCTCGTAAAGGTTAGATCAATATCTATTAATTTTTGCACATAGTATATTTTATTTATTTTACCACATCACATGAACTGGTGGGCAAAAGAAATCAAACTAAAATACATAAAAATAAAAAAAATACATTAAAATAATTATTTATTTTTGATAGAACAAACTTGAAAGAACGGTTTGTAATGACGATGTCCTACGAAATGACTTGTAGAGAGTGAAATTGCGTAAATAATCCTTCAACGTCCACTGCCTACCACTGTTACATCAACTGCCTTTTTATGCCCACCGCTGTAAATACGATTTTTTTTATTTTAATTTCTCTAATAGTTTTAAAAGAGTACTGCTCGACTGGAGAAAACCTGCGATGATCATACTGTGCATGAGCAACAAGTGGGGTTAGCCAAGTTAACTTTCTACAATCGTTGAACCTAATAAAAAATTTATGGGAATAACATCCTCAACGTTAAGTCCTAACAACGTTAAGACCTAAAAAATTTTATTAATTTCTATATGTTCGTATTAGCGTTAAATATTATAGAAAGTTACCTTGGATGACTTTACATATCCTTGGAATAGTTTAATTTCCCAGGCATACAGATTTCCTCATGAAGTTCACTGCCGAGCACATGGTGAATCAGCACTTAAACTTGCAATTAACAGTTTCATTAATGCCGGTGGGGATCGAACTCAGGTCTCTCGTGTCTACAATCTAAAAACTCGGCAATTTTATATAGAAACTTGAAATTTAGCATCAAGGTAGATCATTAGACGATAGAGCAAAGGGAAACTCCCAAAACTACAAATTATCGATATTCGGTGACAACGACGTCAAAAATTTTATTCCTGACCGTTTATTGGTTTTCGTCGACTTTGTTGACATTTAATTCATGTTTAAATGAAAAATAAAAAACAGAGACCAATATTTAATAAAATCATAAAGTTTTTTTTTTTTTTAAATTAGACAGCCATTCGAAGAATTTTGTATATTCGTATCAACCCATTCAGAACTTAACATTTTCATTGGGGAAGCAAAAAAGCCCTGAACGTTGTTTGTAACAAACCTGGCCTCACTTTTCACGTGTATGTTTTGGTAGGATTCAACTTATAGCGACCGCTTAGCCCCTGTATCGCCACGACTTTGTTGTAATTATTATTATTAAAAGTAAAAGTTACAGCCTATATACGTCCCACAGCTGGGCAAAAGCCCTCCTCTCACTTCTGAGAGGTTGGAAGGGTGAATTGTCCGCAGTGCCGCCCCGATGCGTGTTGACGGACTTCACATGTCTTCGAAATATTTTTTTTTACTTTCCAGACATGCAGGTTTCCTCACGATGTTTTCCTTCACCGCCGAGCACGTGTTAAATCAGCACTTAAAGTTGCAATCAACAATTTTATTAGTGCCGGCGGAGATCGAACCCGGGTTATTATTAGAAACAGTATACAAATCTCATTCAAGGAGAATTAAATATGTTTGACATTTATTTCATTCTGTAATACTTCTTCATTGTCAATCAAAGAGATTTAAATATATACAGTGGTGGTCATATAATTAAGTACGCTGATATAAGGGGAAGATTTTTTCAAACTAAAACACAAAACTAATTGCATGCAATTTTTTTTATTTCTCTCGGTATCGTAAAACTTTTCCCAAATACCTCTGTATTTATTGATACACATGATTAGCTAAAAATAAATTGACAAAATTTTTACACTACTTTTAAACATAGTGTTTCTATTTACTGGCTGGTCACGTAATTAAGAACGCTAAATAATTTATACCTTTATTCAAATTTAAATAGAGAACACTCAGTTGATTTGTTACTGTTTGCATAATTTTGGCGCCATTTAGTGCTGTAAAAGATTGAAAGTGATTGCTGAAAAATAAAAGTTGTGATAAATCTACAAGGGAAGTAATAATAAAACTTCACCGGAAGAATTGGTCTTATAAAAAGATAGCCGACCACCTGCAATGTTCAAAAACGATGGTTTTCCACGCTGTAAAGCATTTTGCTGCGTATCAAATTACTTCGAATGTTCCACGTGTACCTAAAAAGAGAAAAACAACTCCTCGAGATGACCGAAACATCGTTCGTATGGCAAAACAAAATCCATTTAAAGGGTCCAATGAGCTGAGAAAAGAATATTTTTGTAAAGACAACCCTTCAGCAATTTCAGCACGTACTATTCGAAGACGTTTGGTAGAAGAAAAATTGCACGGTAGGATAGCAGGAAAGGTACCCATATTGAAACTTTGCCACTGGCAAGCCCGGCTTGCATTTGCGAGAAAGTATGAAAACTGGACTGTGCGACAGTGGAAAAATGTACTTTTTTCTGACGAGACGAAAATAAACAGAGTATGTTCTGATGGAAAACGATATGTACGATGTCCCCCGAATACAGCACTCAACCCTAAGTACACGACAGTTACATTAAAGCACGGTGGTGTAAAATCTGGGGGTGCTTTTCTGGACATGGTGTTGGTCCTGGTTGGACCTGTAAAGTTGATAGAAGGTAACATGGATCAGTTCCAATACAAAAATATACTGGAAGAAACAATGTTACCTTATGCTGAAGACGTTCTACCGGTTATTTGGACGTTTCAGCATGACAATGATCCAAAGCACAGGTAAAGGAATTCCTTACAGCGCAATCAGTTTCTGTCTTAGACTTGCCAGCTAACAGCCCAGATCTAAGCCCCAATAGAGAATCTGTGGTTCGAAATAAAGAAAAAGGTTTCAAATACACAGTGTGGGAATTTAAGAGAGCTATATGACGTTTTTTTAGAAGAATGGAACTCTATTTCTATTGTGAAATGTCAAAAATTAATAGAGTCAATGCCTCGTCGGTGTAAAGCTGTAATTAAAAGCCGTAGATATGCTATTGACTATTAATTTTAGTTAAAAATGTATTAAATTGCTTTTTAAATTTTCCGCGCTACATATTATTGTGATTTTTTAAATGTAAGTGTCATACAAAACAATTTCCGAGCAGTTTAATAAATCGTTCTTAATTATTTGACCAGTTTCGGTATTATTTGAATGATTTACTTTGGTAAAATAAATAAAATGTGAAAAAAGTTAGCGATTTTATTATTTAATCCTAAGCCACGTTGCTCTATTAATGTGGCTATTTTATAACATAACTAGTTGCTTCTCAGAAGGTGCACATCTCTGTGTACGATATGATTTAAATAAAAAAAACTTCTAGAACTTCAAATCGTTCTTAATTATGTGACCACAACTATATATACACTATAGAGCGGACATTGGGAACATTTTCATACAAAAGCTGTGACCACGCGCATGTATTACACCCTCTAACGAAATATAGCAATACTTTACTGAATATTTATTTAGAAAACATTTTAGCTATTTCCCAGTAGGTGACACTACTAAACTAAATAAGGTTAAAATCCGTTGTAGGCACATCGTTAATCACTAACATAATTGTAAATAAATAGTGACTTTACTGGATAACAGAGGGCATTATTACAATAATTTTTCTTTCTTCTCGAACAATCTACTAGAAATAATAAAATTTAAAGATTATTTGGTAAATACACATTATCCTTACGATAATAAACCGAAATCACGTTCATTTTTTGCTCCATATTGTGATTTACAATACTTTAATGCACAACCAGGCATATTTTCTTTAAAAATATTTTTAAATTTATAAAATGAATGCGTCTTGACCTTTTGACGATGTCATTTAGACTAAATAACAAAAATCGGAGATATATCCTATAGGACAAAAGTTACAGACGACATTTTTGTTACTGATGTCCGGTCTATTACTACTACCTATTTAAATGTCTTTGTTGTCAATTGTCTTCGCAATAATTCATTGTTAGTTTCTAAAATACTTCCTCTGAATAATAATAATTAAACTTGGTCATGCTTTTGTAAATCGATTTTCATCAGTAGATGGATTTGAATACAGTGAAGCATGAAATTGTATTTTAGCGGTATAATTGACAGAGAGAAAAAAACGATCTGCTGAATATAAATTAGTGGTATAGGACAGCTTTTGTCAACTTGAGGTCTACGGAAATTTAGGGCTCGATTTTCAGTTATTCTAGAAATACAATAAATAAGAAATTAATTAATTTCATATTATATTGACAAGAACGGCCTTGTCAGTTACAGTTACAGTTGAATACGATTCAAAGCAAGAGTTGAGTGCGTGATATTCATCCATTCATCCATAACAGCTTATAAAAGTTCACAACTGAACGTAGGTTTTCTTTATAGATTACCTCATGGGGGGATTTTGTCATACTGAGTGCCGGAAGTTACTTATCTACTACTATTTTATTATACTATAAGGTGACAAAGGAGCATGCAGTTCACTTGATGGTATTAAGTGGATGCTGTGGCCCATAGACATCTATCACCATTTATACTCAATTAAGAATCAAAATGCAGATCCGTTGTCATCCCTGAGGACTAAGAAGGAATGCCGCGTTTCCAGTAAAAAATCTCTCCTGTTCTCTAAACTCACCATTCTCTATTTATCTCTCAATTATTAAGCTGCTATTTTACGCTGATATTCCGTGAGAGCGTGGGCCTACCGCGGTCTAACCGACCAATTCGTGCTACAATGATAATAGAGTTGGTGGTTTTACCGCGTAATATTATTTTATTAACCAATCAAAACAAAGATAGATCAGATAACTAGGGTAATGTCGTTACTTTCACTCATTTGTGTAGATGTGGCAAACTAATTTCACTGAAAATATTGTCCTTTATTAATAGATTATGTTACGTGCTAAATGTTGTTTTAAACAAACATTACATTCATTTGTCACTTTCAAGAAATGTCCAGCTTTTTAAACGCATATTTGTTTCGCAATATTGTAAAGAGTATAAAACAAACTTCCTCTCAAATGCTTTACGTAAACACTCAAATCGGTTTTTGATTTTTCACGCCAATAAAATTCACATGCACTTGTGTAAGTACCATTCATATGCATTCCAATGTTTATGCTCGTCGACCGATGAATGGTTTATTGTTGTTATTGTACGATTAGCTTGACTTTGTTTACTTGGCCACAATGAATAGCTATATATTTAGTACTTATAGTTATGAATAAATACAATAGACTGATGATTTGTTTAGAATTAAGCTGTCTATAACAGAAATTATATAATTAGAATGATACCATGGAAAAATCATGAGACAATTATTACTTACATAAATTGTTTCAACTATGATAAGTACTCTTACGTGCATAAATTATGTTAGAATTATATGTTGACTTTGAGAAATGATGAGTTTACAATTACCTGCACATATTATATACACATTAATTAAATTATTGACACATTTCAATTTTATTAAATTAAAAAAAAATCAATATTTTAATAAATTATGAATTTTGTATATTCAGTCAAATCTTTTAATGTTTTGACTCTACTAAACATTTCAATACACTGACTAGGGTAGCTCTGTAGCCCAATAAAATCCAATTTTAACGTTTGTGGTAATTACTTAGTGAAAGTGGACATATGCCTAAACAAAGCTTAGTCATAATGATTTCTTATTTGTTTTGTATTATTTTAAGATTATTCTGAGCTATTATTTATAATAATGTGTTTACTTTTTTATTTGCAGGGCAGAACAGGCTGAAATTTACTACATGAATAAATCGGAACATTCACCGGGAAAGGACTCACTTCTAGTCAAAGTGAGTGAATGTTATTTATTTAATTTAATTGTTTTATATTTATTATTTAGTAGCTCATGTATACCAGCGTCGGTAGTCTAGTGCTGAGTGAAGCGTTGAAATCTTTCCGTAAGCGAAGCCAATACTAATTTTCGAGTTTTGATTTATTGTGAGTCTTAAATTTCTTAAACACTACGCCCATGTATGTTAGAACGTTTTTATTACGCTTTTATCAATTTTAGTTACTTAAGGTACGTTCGTGTGAACGCATTCGCGGACTTTACATCTACATTCCATATTATACCAATTGTTGAAATGAAGCTTTACTTTTATTTCAAATGGGAAGCAAGAAATCTCTTACACCCTCTCTTTTTCTATTTTCATAGTTTATGCTCCCTCTGTTGTGTTTATTTATGTTTTTCGACGCCGCAATTACGCAAGCTATAAGCATTAAAATTCAATCGATTGTTATTGTTTTGATGATATCATATCTTCTATAGCAAAAAAAAAAACAACACAAAACTCATATTTTTTGTCCAGATATAAAAACAATAAATTCGTCTTTTAAGAGTTCTATTTAGTTTGTTGAATCTCTCTCCTCCCCCTATCATAAGAATTAAAATCGATCAAGCAAGTAGTATAACCAGTGCGTGTTGCTAGTGATGACTTACGGATCTGAGACGTGGTCCTTCACTGCTGGCCGTATGAGGACGCTCAAGGTCGCTCAGCTAGCTATGGAGAGGGCTCTACTCGGAGTTTCACTGCGTGATAGACTCAGAAATGAGGATATCCGCAGTAAAACCAGAGTGACCGACATAGCCCAACGGATTAGTAAGCTGAAGTGGCAATGGGCCGGACATATAGCTCGAAGAACCGATAACCGATGGGGAAGAAAGGTTCTCGAGTGGCAGCCTCGTACCGGTAGGCGTAGTGTAGGGCGACCCCCCACTAGATGGAGTGACGACCTGGTAAGACATGCAGGAAGTCGATGGATGCAGGTGGCTCAGGACCGTGCTTTGTGGCATTACTTGGGGGAGGCCTATGTTCAGCAGTGGGCTTGTGAAGGGCTGTAATGATGATGATGATGATGAAGCAAGTAGTACTAGTACAATTATTCGATCACTCGAGTAAATCGATTAAGCTCACGTGCAAACTGTATTTGTATAGTCAAATCGATCTAGCTTCTTTTTATAGAATAATAGTGATAAACGAGAACACAGTCCAAGTGGGTGCTGTCGCTCTGTAGAGGCCCGTAGACGTCTACATTTATCCTCGGTTAAGAATCAAATACAGATGCTTTGTCAACCCTTATTAACTCTTTGCCGTAAGTACCTTTCGATCCAATACCGGTATTCGTTCACCGATTCGGCGTATGGTTCCCACATATAATGAGACCTTCGAGCATATAGACATTTTTACATGCTCAAAGGAAAAGTTTCGTGGTCTTTTATACAAGACACTTTTCAAATATTAATTTTGTTATCTTAGTCACATTATAATATAATCACTGTTGACCATACTTTGACATTTGTATAATACCTTCCGTATAGCTGCAGGTCTCCTAGCGTCTTAATTATCTATCCCAAGAGGTAATCTGTGAACAGCACTGTGAGCTGCATTATTGCGTATGTTAAGTTACTGTACTATCTATATGTAATATATATGTCGCGTCATGGGTGGCCGAGATGCGAAGCATCGGGTTTTCTTCACGCTCCGACATGGTTTTATGTAAATGTGGGCACACGAACGAAAGATGATTTAAATCAAAAATAACTTTATTTAGACTAGTGGTTGTATACGAGAAACAAACACGTGCGTCGGTAGCGAGCGTCCGCCCCGGCTGTCCGAACTCAACTGCTACAACACTCGGTCCCTTCTCTAGCCCTCGCTGCATCCCCTCTACCGACGATCGTGTCCAAGCGGTAGGGCGCGCTTGCGTTTTCGGTAACGATATTATTGATTCGCAAAGCTAATTGTTAGATGGCGCTGCTTGTAGCACTATGGCGCCATCAATCCACGACACGGCCATCCCTGACTAGCACCCGTCCTCGGGTGCAGTGCCTGTGGACAAAATATCCTGCCAACGAAAACGAGGTTGATTCCAGATGGTACTTTATTTCTCCTAAATCTAAGTACAGTAATCAACTGCCATGATTGACAAAGCCCTATTATTAGGGCTTCTTACACAGTGCTTCCTGCACTACATGATTTATTGTGAAAGGCCCGATCAACAAGTTCCAACACAGCAATTCTGACAATTTTGTTACTCTTTACCATAATTCATAAGCAATGAATACTCAACTCGTGAAACTTTCATTGAAATCTGTGCACCAGCACAGACCAGAATCGCACCAACGATTCTTTACATATCTGCCGTCACATATGCCAGAATCGCACCAACGATTCTCCACATATCTGCCGCCACATACGCCACAACACATGAGGGGCTCTGTGCACCAACACAGGCCAGAATCGCACCAACGATTTCCTACAGACCCATCGCCACATGTTACTCATGAGGTGCGGTCTACAGTTTCGAGTATGAGTATACATGCCATTCTTAATTAGATTTGGTTTCACTATCGCTGTCATCAACTATGACGTCTAATTCTCGAGGAACTTGGTGATCGGGGACCTTCCTCACACGATCATGGGGGTATTTGTAGGTTCGCTTAGAGTCAAGCGCCTTTAGTAGGTATCTATCCCCATCTAACACATCGATAATCTTAAAAGGACCTTTAAACTTGGGATCTAATTTCGTTTGATTCCTCTCCTCATTTTCAATTAAAACGTAATCATTGATAGCTAATTTACAAACCCGAGCCTTATTTCGGTCAAATCGATTTTTATCATAATTGGCATTTTTTTTTTGATATTCTGTGTCGCGTGCTCTCTGATCTCATCCAAGTTAAATTCTGTCACATCATCATCATCATCGGCGGTTACTAAACTAAGCGGTCGTGCTACCCTTCCTATCATCAACTCTAGAGGGCTATATTTAGTCACCCTATTAATAGTAGAGTTCATAGCCAGCTGAACCTCTCCTAATGCGTCCTGCCAAGAACGGTCACGACTAGTCTCTACCGCTGTTAAGATACTCTTAAGCGTACTCATTACCCTCTCGACCTGACCATTTGCACGGCTGCCTCCAGCAGCTATCAGGTGCAACTCGATGCTATTAGAAGTACAGAAACTAGAAAAATCTTTGCTTGCGAAACAACGACCCTGATCTGCTATTATGCGTTTCGGTGCACCAAACAGAGCTATACAGAAATTAATAGCACGAATACTACTATTAGTGTCGATGTTTAGCGAATGACGAAGTAGCACAAATTTGGTAAACGCATCTAATATGACAAACACGTACTCCTTGATGTCATTTTTCCCCGATAATTTACCAGAAGCGTCAATATGGATTGTGTGCCATGGGATATTGAACTTGGGAATCGGGTGCAGTTCTGCTTGAACTTTACCCGAGTGGGGCTTCGCTACTTTACATGTGATGCAGTTGTCCACAAATTTCCTCACATATTTCGACATGCCTTCGAACCAGTAGTGTTCGTAAATCTTTTCGAGAGTTTTCTCCCATCCTAAGTGCATGACAGACTCATGGACGTTATTAATAACAGACCACCTAAGCGATCTAGGTACAATAGGCAGCCATCGAGTGCGACCGTTACGCTGAATTTGGCGATATAGAATGTTTTTACGAACTTCGTAGGTTTTGCGAGTTTCCTCAGGAAAAACTTCGTTACGAAGATCAGAAACGATCTTACTAATCTCTTCGTCCTTTTCCCGTTCAGCTTGCAACCAGTTACTAGAAAGCTCAGCTAAATCGATACGCTTTTGTTCCACACGAGTGAAAGCCACTTTGGGCTTAGGGAGGGGATTTCTAGACAGGAAGTCTACATGGCTCATCCTACTGCCTTCACGATGGACGATATCAAACTCAAATGACTGCATGTAGGCCCACCAACGATGAACTCGTGGAGACAAGTCAGTTTTGCTTTTAGAAGCTTTAACAGAACTGCAGTCTGTCACAACGGTAAACTTACGACCTAGCAAATAATGTCGAAAATGCTTTATGGCATTGAACACAGCTAGCGTTTCTAACTCAAATGAATGAAACTTTGATTCGGCTGGGGAGGTACGACGACTATAATAAGCAACCACATGTTGTATCCCATTAATCTTTTGAATAAAAATAGCACCATATCCTTCAGCACTAGCATCGGTGTGTAACTCTATTGGATGTGCAGGATCAAATATCGTTAGAATAGGCTTACTGGTTAAATAAGAAATAATTTTCTGACGAACAGCCTCATGGCTAGGTTCCCACTCAATGGACCTGTCCTTGCCACTCGTTAGACGAAATAGAGGAGCCATCGTTTTTGAGAACTGTGGCACAAATTGTCTGAAATAAGTGGCCAGCCCTATGAACTGTCTTAGCTGAGTGATGGTTTTAGGCGGGGGAAGTCTGGACAAAGCTGCAATTTTATTTGGGTTGGGACTGATTTGGCCGTTCTCAACAACAAAGCCTAAATATTCTACCCGTCGCTTAAGAAAGGAACACTTAGCAAGATTTAGGGAGAAACCAGCTTTTGTTAATTTATCTAGCACAGTGCGAAGACGAAATAAATTCTCCTCCACAGACGATCCTATCACTAAAATGTCGTCGACGTATGTCACAGCATAGCTGTTAGCAAGATCGCCTAATGCCTTCATCACTGCACGTTGATAAACTGAGCTGGCATTTTTCAAACCGAACGGCATGGTCAAATATTCCCACTGACCATCAGGTGTGACGAATGCAGTGCGCTCTATCGATTCAGGATGCACTGGAATCTGGTGATAGCCTGACAACATATCGAGACACGTGAACCATGTAACACCACCTAACCTAGATATAAGGTCCTCTATCAACGGCAGTGGAAACCTATCCGATACAGTGTTGTCGTTCAGCTCCCTGTAGTCGACACACATGCGATCTGAACCATCTTTCTTCTTGACAAGCAACACTGGACTAGAAAATAGGTGAACAGCTTGGCCTAATAATACCTGCTTCCTCTAGTTCACGAACTTTAGCAGTAACAACTTCACGTTCGTTTGCACTAAGCCTATAAGGGCGACGTTTAACCGTTCGACTAGGATCTATAAGCCTGATTTGCAACTGTCCTGTCGTTACACGGGATTTAGGTACACCATTAGAAAACGAAGATGAATATTCTGACAAAAGATCCATTAATTGGGAACGAAATTCTGGCGGAACGTCTGTGTCAACTTTATTTGAATCAATTTGATAATTAGTATCCGTCTTGGGCTTATTTGAAGCATCACATAATCTCACAACCTTATTACGACACAAAACAACGCTATGAGACGTCATACTAACGTTGAACCCCTGATCTAAAATCTCGCGGCCGATTAAGATATCATTTTTAAGACAACTATCCGGTACAACATGAAATAATATCTCTAACCGTAAATCGTTAATTATAACTTCAGATAAAATTTGTAGGGTACTTTGTACGCTAACGTGACCGATTCCGGTTAAATTTACAATATTATTTACTCGCTTGCCACTAAACTTTGACGCAACACAATCTTTGATCAGAGAGCATTCGGCACCAGAATCGTAGTAAAATGGGTATGACTCACCAGCATTCATCAGCACACCGCTGGGATTGCTGACATAACAAACGTCAACACGTCGCTCACTGGTTGCCGCTGCGGCAGGCGCTACCCCAGAACTGCTTGATCCACCCGCCGCGCTGGTGCCCGCACTATTGCTTCGTGGACATTTTGCTGCCGGGCCCTTGATGGCTTCTATCAAGGACATCATATTCTGGTTTTGAGCAGCCAGCAGCTCCCGAAGCATGTTCTCGTCGCACCGTGACGACATCGCTCCAGTCTCCGTGTTTTCTTCAACTCGGGTGCATCCCACTTCTGATGTCGCGTCATGGGTGGCCGAGATGCGAAGCATCGGGTTTTCTTCACGCTCCGACATGGTTTTATGTAAATGTGGGCACACGAACGAAAGATGATTTAAATCAAAAATAACTTTATTTAGACTAGTGGTTGTATACGAGAAACAAACACGTGCGTCGGTAGCGAGCGTCCGCCCCGGCTGTCCGAACTCAACTGCTACAACACTCGGTCCCTTCTCTAGCCCTCGCTGCATCCCCTCTACCGACGATCGTGTCCAAGCGGTAGGGCGCGCTTGCGTTTCCGGTAACGATATTATTGATTCGCAAAGCTAATTGTTAGATGGCGCTGCTTGTAGCACTATGGCGCCATCAATCCACGACATATATAATGTAGTTGTTAGCTGTTCCACTATGAATAAAATAAAAACCCTGAGGACTAAGATGGAATACCCCATTTCCAGTAAAAAGGGTGTCCTGTTTATTACAGGCGTCATACGAAACTTTGAGGGCGTGGTCTTACCCCGGTCGAGCCGACGTAAAATAGCACGCACGTACCACGTCTTATGTGTCGTTAGTGAAATTCGGTATTGTCGTTATCATCAAATAAATTCTAAAAGTTAAAAGGCAACTTTTACACACAAACATTTTAAATAATGTATAAAAAAAATTCTGTACAGGTTTATTTTTCAAAGAGTAGCCAAATTTTAAACTTAAGTTCAAATATGTAAATAATAATAATACATTTATTGCAGTTTTTGAAAATACAAGTAAAAGAGGTTTCTACTTTTATTTCAAATTATCCTAAATTAAATGTGATTTATGGGCAACAACGTTTTTGCCTACCGATCGACCTTTACGAATGCGTGCGTGCGCAGTAAAATCAGTTACAATAATAATAATCTTTATTGATAAACATATTACATGCACAAAATTTAAAGTGGTCATTAGCCCGTAGACTAGGATATAATACCTGTATTTCAGGGGCTAGTTTCCTTCCCTATTCTTAGTTCTGTTAGTATAATTTGTTTATCTATATATTATATTTATGTTTATTTATTATATAATATTAACAAGTATTATTTAAAACGTAAAAAGTTAAAATAATGCATTGCCAGATTGGAATTGGATGGCATGTTTGAGATTTTTATTTAATTTTTCTTCGCTATTTGCCTATATTACTTATTCTGAACCGTCTCGGCAAATTTGTTCGGTCATTGCAAAATAACCCTGTATTGCATATACACAAGCTCCCTAATACATTATAAAAAAGTCGTCTGCTGGATATAGGCCTCAGTTTCACTCCTATTGTAAACACCCACGAACTTGCAGTCCACCTAATGATAAGTTCCTTCTGCAGCCAGTAAACAACTGCAACCAACTTTAAACATCAAAGGCTACACACTGATGCCTTGTCAACACTGAGTAAGATGGAATGCCTCACAGGCTGTAATTGTACTGCTTGCTTTCTGTACACTTCAGATCGAAATACAGCTGGGCAAGCATTGTTATTTGGCGGTAAAAGTAAGTGTAGTTATTCCATTTCACGACGAAGATTTAGCCTTGAATGTTGTAGTGACGTGTGCCGACAGGCGCGTTTGTGTGTGTAATTGCGATTTGTTCGACTCGCGTTCGTGACTGAGCGCTCCCGAAGCTTGCGCACACTAGCACAATGTGTATGTGCACGGCTAACAACAACCAAAGTCAAAACTTCATCGTGAAATAGAATAACTATAAGAGATTAGTTACCTACTGAAACGGACTCCTACGCAGAAATTAGTCCTCTTAGTGCAATTCGTCTGGTGCTGGACTGGAATTGCCCCGAGCTCTGCTTTGGGCTGATGATGATGGAGCACTAATAAGAATGGATGGGTGATTAGGACGAGACGTTTCCTGAACTACAGGCAGCGGGCGGCGAAGGCGAAGAGAGCGCCGCGGGAGAGGAGCGGCCCGGCTCCGGAGATGTCGAGGACCGCGGTGGCGCCGCCTTCCCCAAGGCTTTCGACAGGGATCTCGTCACACCTACCGCTCTACAGGTATCTCTTAGAAAAACAATTTGCCGACTTCTATGAAGGAGGCTTACAATTCGACTGTATGTTCTTTTGTGTGTACATTATGCGACATCTTTTTCGATTGTGGCCAGACTTTGAAGATTTTTTTTATTAAATAGCTTACACTTCAGGCATGGCCCCATAAACATTTAAAAAAAACATCCTTAAAGGTGGAAAAAATGGGGCATGAAGTTTTTAATGTTACGGTCCACTAAAAGGGTAAAAAATAAAACTAGTTTTTACGAACTTTTCGCGTATAATAACATATTTTATATTTCCGACATTTTTCCATTACATTTTCCCCCCGTGACCATGGGTGGGGTACTTGAAACGTCTGGAATATAAGTTGATATGCACGATAAAATCCATAAAAACTCGTTTTATTTAAATGTGGTAGTGTTCGCGTAAACATAGGAAATAATTGGCTAAAATAAATTACGAAAATTATTGAATTGCACATTATAAACACTTAAAATATTTTTTTTGTTTTTTGCAGTCGGTTTTTACTTCTTATTAAAGGTTATTTTTATATATATAATAGACAAAGACTTTATGTCAAGGGGAATACGATATGTCCGATATGTACAACAAGCAGCATGACCTTATTAAATCTGTTAAAAACTTAATAAATTGTCGTCAATATTTTTTAAAGATTGTGGGCTATAATGGCTATACTTATTATTATCTTTGTGACACCACTCCCCATTGATCTTAGTCCTTTCGTTAGTCAGTCAATTACGTCTTTGTCGCTTAAAACAGGCATGAAATGATATGTGTTGATTTATTTTCTGTTAATTTAATTTGTTGTTATAAATTCTTTTTTTAGTTTTTTCGTACTAAAAGTCTGGTATAAATCAAAAATACTAAAAGTCTGGTATAAATCAAAAATACTAAAAATGCTTATTTTTGTTATGTAGCACAGATATAACTATCTCTATTTTCTAAACCATTACGATTATAGTGAAATAGTTTGCATTCATTTTATATATAAGTATTTTTAATATTCAATTTTTTACAGCAACAAACAACAGAAGATAGGCGGAAATCGTTGCTGGATCACCACTGGGCTATACCTAGCAGAGATCGAATGTCAATTGATCAAGGAAGCGAAGTAAGTTAGAGTAAATTGTCTGTACACATTGAGCTATTATGTACTACGTACTAGAGGAGACACTGCATTCAGCTACTCTGTTCCACTCAACTGCGGTGCATGCACCGCACTTTAATCAGTCAGTCAGTCACTCGCTAGGCGCTTGTAGAGTTGTCACGTGTTGTGTTGATTTAAAAAAATCTCTTGATAAAAATATGCCGTCGTGTGTACTTAGATATTGCACAAATAAGAATGTGGGCTTTTCATCGGTTCATAAGATACTTAAAATCAATAAAAAAGTATTTATAATACTTTAATATTAAAACCAATTATGCCTAAGACGCCATCTCGTATCTTGGAATAAAGATTATGAAATTAATATGTCCAGATGCAACATTTCTGTGGGCATTTAAGTATAGGACGAATATATTATTATACACATTTGTTTTTGTCGAAACATATATAAGTTATTATAATTAGGCTAAATTTTTCATGTTTAAATCTACTTATTATTCTTTTATTTTATTTTTAGGTTTCCACATCAAAGTGAAAGTGGAATAAATTCGTCCATTTTTAACTCTCGCGTGCCCAGCATTTATGAACGATTATTTACAGCATTTATGATTCTAATTTGAATAAATATATTTTGTAATTTAAATTTTATGTTAATGAGTTTTGTTAAACATACATTTAGTTTTTTTTTATATTTGACATAGATTCCTTTTAAAATATTCAGATAAAAATATAATTAAAATGTAATTGTGATACAATATTATGTAATATTATATTAAATAAACAAAAATAATATACAAAATAAATGACAAAATTTAAATATTGTTCTCGATATAATTTAGCTATTTAACAATACAATCTACTATTACCTATGGATCATTCTACCTATGTTTATTCTATGATAAAAAAACCAAACGCACGAACACAGAGTAGCGCACATTTTTTGTTTGAGACAGCTGTTCTAGTATGTAAGTAAATATTACTTCAATGTCTGTACATTACATTGAGAATTTCATTCCACTACATACCACTTTGATCTGAAATGTCTCTCTCGTCTTTGGTTAAGAATTCGAAATTCAAATTTATAAATTCATTTAGCTGGTACATTTGAGTTTTGAAAACAGTCATTCATTTGTTTTTTCCTCATTATTTTTTTCTTTGGCGTCGCTTATCACCGCACAATGGAAAACATGAAATATCGGTATATTTACGAGTACGAGTTCTACCGTGGCACCAGTGCTGCAGAAGCAGCTCGAAGGATTAATGATGTGTACGGCGCTGGTGTCGCAAAAGAAAGCTCGGTACGTTTTTGGTTTCAACGTTTTCGTTCTGGAAATTTCGACCTTCATAACCAACCCCGTGGACGGCCGGAGACCAAAGTGGAAAATGAAGAATTAAAGGCTATTGTGGAAGCGGATCCATCACAAAGCACTTCAAAGATAACTGCAGGCTTCGGGGTAAGTGATAAAACTGTATTAATCCACTTGAAGTAAATCGGGAAAGTAAAGAAACTTGAACGATTGCTACCTCATGAATTGAGTAAATCTAACTAGCAAACACGCGTCGACTGCTGGGTTACTTTGCTCAACCGACACAAAAATAAAATCTGGCCAAAAGATTACGGCAGATATTTACTGTCAGCAACTGCAGACCATGAAGGAAGAACTAGCTGCTAAACAACCGAGATTGGTCAATCGCTCTAGGCCACTGCTGCTTCACGACAACGCAAGACCACACACTGCACAACAAACAATTACTAAGTTAGATGAGCTATAATTGGAATGTCTGCGACATTCACCGTACTCGCCGGACCTTGCTCCAACAGATTACCTTAATTTGGACAACTTCTTACAAGGAAAAAAATTCAACTCCGATGCGGCAGTCCATACCGCCTTCAAAGAGTTTATTGATTCTCGCCCCCGTGTTTTTTTTAGTAAAGGGATCAATGAACTACCTATGAGATAGCAAAAGTGCATAGATAACAACGGTGCATACTTTGATTATAATTATTAAAAAAAATTACTTTATATTCCTCCCGTACAAAACGCCAATTTCATATGTAAGGACCTATTATTAAGAGCCCTCTTACATTTCGGCGTTACGCAAATTTAGGTATTTTATCCTCCGAGCGGGCGACGACCTACGCGAGCGATACTTTATATTATATCTATTCACTCGCTTGCACTATGATACTGTGAGTATAGCGACTAAACGATCTTGATCTTCCATTATACAAGTTTTCTTAGGATGGAGTTCAGTGAATGGAAAGTTTTTGGTGTGTCATTTTTATGTTATCTTATTAATTTATCATAGTCTATTTGATATATTTTTTATTATTTATGAACCTTAATGTTGAAATAAGTACAAATAAATATTTTAATTATTTCACAGTAATCGATTGTTAACCGATGTTGGTTAATAATCGATTATATCTACTAACGGTAGCATAGTGGTATAAATAAATAAATAGTACGGTTGCAACCTGTTTTAATAAATAAAATAACCAACTGTTACTAATATTTTTTAATCGGTACTTACAGTCAATTACCATATTCTGTATTACAAAAATATGTACCGCAACGGCATTGACCGAGCTTATCTCGAGTCAATAATTTCAGGCGGTTACACACTTTTTATAAAACGCTTGTAACTTGGGTAACATATTCAAAATCCAAAATTTGTCGTCTGTAAATTTTTAGTAAGTACTTCTAATGCATAATCTGGGCCAGTCCATATGGCAAGCATGCAGATATTTTTATTCTCCACTATTATTTCTCCAGAGATAGGATAATTTTTTTGTACATTTAGTGACACATTTATACTTGTATTTATTTTTCCCCATTCCGACTGGTAGTAGCAAAGCTCAGCTACAATCAAAATAACTGAAATTAACTATCTGGTATAATTATAATGTTCGAACTTTATACTAAATAAAGTATACTGTACTACCCGTGCGGTTAAAAATGGGATTGAAAATGGCGGCGCCTCTATTCACCTCTCGCGCTCACACAGTCGCTATCTATACTGACCCCCCCCGGTAACGACTGCATAAAAAATACGTTGCGATATGTGTTTTTCGTACGTTCTATAACTTCAGTCCAACTTATTATTGGACTATGTAACTACTAACGCCATAAACCACAAAAAATCAGTCTGCGTTTGCTCATTTATGAGCTACGACGCGTTCTGAGTTTTTTTCATAATGTAATATTTAATTTTATTTTTGCTGTTGCGAAATAAGTAACCATTTTTTAAATTTTAAAAGCAGCCAACAAAATTGAAGTCTGATACACCTTTGTCAATGGAAAAGCGGGAAAAGCGTTCATTATTCCTCAACCGCATTCAGTCACTATCAAAATATAATCATTATAAAACAAGTAAGATTAAAAAAAAACCGATTACGTTACGTTAGTTTCCTTTGGGATTAAATCTTTTACAAAGTGAAACACGTGATGAAATGTCAAAGAAGTTTCTCTTGACAACGCATACGTGATTTGGTACATTATTACAAAACAGAGTTTTAAAAGTGTTTCTCTTTGGATGTTTGTCAGTGTAAATGGATATATATATATATATATATATATATATATATATATATATAATGACAATTATTTATATTTATTTACATAACATTGATATATTAGTTATGTTAATATCAGTTGTGTTATTTGTTTACGATCCTTTTCAGGTATCCTCGAACGCAGACCAAGGCAAAGACGAGAGTCTGGAGGCATGCGTGGGGTCGAGTGAGCGCGCCGAGAGTGCGGCGGGTGACGTCGGCGAGAGGGAAAGGGAGGGCGAAGTGGTCGATCGCGGGCAGGGAGAGGGAGGGGAGGACGAGGCTCCGAGAGATGCCGCACGTCACCTCGTTAAACTCTCGTACCACGATTCCGGGATCGACATCCGTGAACCGCTTCTGCATGTCACCCCCGTAAACTCTAAAAAGGTAATCAATCTTCTAGTTAAATTACTACTCCGTAACAGTTCCGTAATAGATGGTTTGTTTTCAATTGGTGGTATGAGCTAAAGCGCGGGGCAACGACATCATGCCTTATTCACGATCGATTTGTGGTTAATTCTACAGTCGTGCTTGTGTCGTAGCTCGCAGCGTACCCTTTATATATACGTACATCTAGTGATGTGATGACTGAGACGCACTAAGTACGACGTTCTGTTTCTTGTATGATATAATATAGATGTAAGTTATTATGTATCTAAAATATTACATGGAGTCATTTTCTTTAAGAGTACTCTTACACTTATCCTTGTTATATACTAAAATCTAAAATACTACCATCTCGGCATCTGTACCAATGCTTTTAAGAACAATTTTGGTCTTAAATAGTATCTTTCATTTTTTAGTACAAAGAAAAAGAAGCTAAATATTTATTAAGTAATAATAGCAGATGCCACAGCAATGTATAATACGTATTAGAATATTGGGGAGACATTTATTCAGCTGGACTTGTAAAGATGATGAATTTAATGATATTACTAATTTGCTAATGCTACGCTCATCTTTTAGTTTGATTTTGATAATATGTAAAATTTAAATTTTTTGTAATAATTTTGTATTTAACATTCTTACAATACATAACAAAAAAATCTGTAAAAAGTAAATTTTAATACTAAAAATTTTGTTATTATTGTAATGTATTATTGTTATTTAATCGTATTATTTCAGCGAATATTACAAGCAGCCCTAAGATGTTTTATCTGTAGTCATTTTTAAAGTACTCTTACACTTATTCTTTTAATACACCAAAATCTAAAATGCTCTCTCCATCGCAGCATCTGTACCTGAGCTTTTAAGAAAAATATTGTCTTCCATGTTGTATTTTTACTTTTTAGGTACAAAGAAAGCGAAATTAAATATTTATTAAAATAACAATTAGCAGATGTCTCAACAACACATTTATTTTACGAGTTTTCTTGTGCCAATTTTTAAAAATATCAGGAATCTTTTTAAAGGGTTCGTAAACGAGGTGTAAAAATCAATTTGCTGGAAATTTTGCGAAAAGCTACAGCTCGGCAATATTGTCATCGATACTTTTGCTGCAGTGTTATTGTTAGACATCTTGTAGTTATATACTGATAATTTTATCTGTAGTTGACGGCAGTTACTTTAACTGTGCCGCCAAGCAATTGAGTTCATGGATTACATGAAACTACATCAAGCCTATGGGCTAAGCAACATTGTACTGCGTTGCGCGATGTAGACGTCAACTTGACGGCAAAACAATTGCAGCTGGAAATTGCCACTCAAAATTAACGCGTATACGATCGCTTTTTAAATGTATGTTCTTCGCAGCTTTCTGTATTATTCATAAAACTTTACTTTTTAAATAGAATCAATATGCGTCATTTTAGGGCCCTCATTTGATTCCATCGCCATCAGACCATGAAGATTACTATCATGAAATAGATACGATATTCGAGATCGCTGAACCTGACATCTCGATGTACGACGATTTCTGCGATGCGAGCTATGAGAAGAAATTTCTCGATTACTTTTATTTCGACAATCTCGATGTCGAAATGAGATCTTGTACTTCTAATGAAGAGGTGAGATGGTGATAGTGGGGGAGGTTTCCTGTTTGTTCCACGTTATCTTTCGCTCTTGTGAAGTGAAATTTGAGGCAGAGAAGTGAAGCAATAGTTGTCGTGTTTTAACTTTTTTTCTTTTTATAAGTCTCTTTCTTCTTTATAATGTTATTAAGGTCATTGCTGTGTGATGGTTTCCTATTGAATATTTCATGGTGCATGTCATGTTAAATTACCTTTTGTTTCTTACTTTGCTATACTTAATAAAATTTGACTTTTCTAATTGTTCTTAGTTAATTTGTATTTCGTAAAAATTTAAGTTTATTTTGTTATACTCCTACTGTTATTAGAATAGTTACAACATATTAGTTACAGCACAAATATTAAATATTAAAGAGGAAAAAATCTTCTTTGATATTCTATATTGAATTTACATAGAAGTTTGAAAGCAGATTTGTTTGTTATATTTGATATTTGGTAGTATGTTATATAATATACTGAATACGATGACGATAACGTAATGCTGATTAACTTCGACCACGGCTCGGCGACGTCATCCAAATAGTCGGAAATTTATTTTATAATATAAATAATTTATATTATAATAAACAATTACATAATAATATGATAGGCGGCGTTATGATCAGTGCCTGAGTGTATGATGCGTAAGCACAAGTGCACTCTCTATTTGCTCACTCTAATCGTCCGATGGGACTGGAGAAAGATAAACCGAAGCTTCAACGGCTCTACCTGTTTTCCAAGGCACGAGGGTGAACCGCCGTCAATTTCATATTCCGGGCTGCTACTGAGCATTTCTTGACAGAAAAACCCAATTACTTCATTTTTGGCCCCACTCGGGGATTCGTACTTGAGACCACATGATAAGCAGTCGTGCTTACGACCTCTAGACTTAAAAGTTACCTCATTTCTGAGACGGCAAGGAAGTGTCCGCCGCGCTGCTCCAATGCGTGTTGGCGAACTTCACATGTCTTCGAAATATTCTTTTGTCTTATTTCTCAGACATGCCGGTTTTCTTACGATGTTGTCCTTTACCGCCGAGCATGTGGTAAATCAGCACTTAAAATTGCAATTAACAATTTCATTGGTGCAGACAGGGATCGTACCCGGTTTGCTCGCGTACTATGAAATTTACAGCGAGAGCTAACCATCTGAGCTACCACGTCTCTCTACCTCGACCTCTAGAGTTACGAGGCAGTTATTCATATCAACATTAATTTAAATTATTAATAGTTAAATAGTAAATGACTATCATGCAAATAAATAGAGCACAGAAAAGGGATTTTCTTTAATTTTACCACTGGCCGATCAACTATTTACTTTCATATTAAATTAACTCATTGTATTTTTAATAGGTATATAGCGACGCGGACATAGTGCTTTCAGCGGATTGGGTTCCTCCAGTGTGTTTGCCTCGTACCGAACCCCCGCTATCAGCCCCGCCCCTGGGAGAAAACGATAGGACACCACGTAAACCCGCAGCAGTCTCTTTCTCGCTTGATGGCAGTAACCAAAAAGAAGATATTGGAAAACCGGATAAGAAAAACAAGGTACAAACTAGATAGAGTTGTTTCATATATTTCGTCTCGCAGCATGCAGTTGCTTCATATACTCACGGGATTTCAAACAGCAAGGAATTATGAAATTATTTGTATTTCATTACAACATGGACAATTATTGTCTGCGCGGTAGACTTCGTAATGACGATAGCCACAGTAGAATCAGTGTAACCGACATAGTCCAACAGATCAGTAAACTGAATGGTTATGGGCTCACCATATAGCTCTAAGAACAGACAACCGATAAGGAAGAAAGGTTCGCCACTGGCGCTATTTTACCAATAAGTGTAGGGCGGCTCCCTCATTAGATGGAGTGACGACTTGAAGGTGGCCCAGGGTCCTGCATTACTATTATCTAGATGTTAGTGCTGTTAGTCTATGCGACTCTTACAGCTTCATCTGTCTCGAGCTAATTAAAGAAGGGAAAGGCAATGAGGTGAGGATGATGATGAAATGGTTTATGATTTGATATTGTTACCAATCATCATGTCGCCTTTTTAGGCGTTTTTCTTTGAGCTATCTAACCGTAGTCCGAGAGGGGGAGTGCGGACCCCCGTCTCTGACTGCTCAGCTCGTGTCGGTCGATGGTCTGGGCGGTGAGAACCGTCCAGGAACGCGGGTGTACGGTGTGTACGCGGAGTGAGCTGAAACGGTGTGTCTGGTGACGCGTCCCATTCGTTGTCCTATTAATCCTGCATTCTGGTATTCCTTGGGGAGTCTATGTACAGCGGTGGACATGTGATTTGGTGATGAATTTAAATTTAAATTTTACAAACGATGTAAAAATTAGCAATTTAATCATAAGACAAGTTCAATAAACATTACATTATAATTTAATACACATTGCACCTAATAAACCTATATATATTCTTAAATGCATTATACACTTTATATAATTTACTGCATGCTTACAATATACTACATTTTAACTAATAACAAAATTTTAAATTTAAAAACCCCCGAAAAAATAAGAGCTGATGATCTTCAAACGGCTGGACAGGTTCTCTTGAATCATAGCTAAGAACACTCGATCAAGTCGCCTTTCAAACATAAAAAAACTTAATGTAAATCGGTTATCCATTTGGAAGTTACGATGTCACATGCACACACACAGATACACACGTTAAACATAGAACACCCCTCTGTTTGCATCGGGGGTTAATATAATTACTAAGACATTAAAAAAACCTACATCCTATTGAGTTTTACGAAATGTAATAGGAGTTAATGTGTATGTTACGACTTTTTCCATTTCGTTTTTAGATTAAAATTTACAGTCCAAGAATAAACATACCTATGTGTTTTATCGGTTATTTGTTATAGTTTTTTCTTGAGACCCGAAACAAAAACCTCACTCAAACGGATTTGTGTAACCATTATTAATAATAAGTGTGTAATTCATAAACTATACACTTACATTTTATGATTGTTGTTGATTAAATCAAAACGGTAGCAACTTCACATCTGACATACTTTAATTTTTTTCTTTCTCCAAGATGCTGAAGAGGCTTTCCTACCCACTGTCGTGGGTGGAAGGACTAACAGGAGAAGGAGCCACGGGAGCAACGCACGGCTCCCAGAGCGACTCGCTTCCGACCTCAGCTGATAGTCACAACACTAGCGTCTTCTCTAAAGTGTTTAACAGGTGAGTGGACATTTTTAAATGTATGATTTAGTTTAACTGTATTTATGTCTTTTTTTAATTAATTACATAACATGAGGTCATGACAAGGTTTTAAACACCCACAAATAATATCATAAAATGAATTCTTGTGGTATTATTCTATTGTATAACTGTAATGATTTCTTATATTTACGCGAACACTACACATTGATTAAACTACTACTTTTACGGATTTTATCGCGTTTATTTTACTTTTAATTACTGTTATTTTTAATTCCCGACGTTTCGGGCGCTTTCCAGTACCCATGGTCACGGGGGACTGAGATGACTGACGTCCCGATGTCATTGTTAAACCCGGAGTACCTTCAGCTTTTTAATTATTGTTTATGGTCTGATCTATGCAAAATGAACTATGTCCTGGGGTCTTGCAGTGGTATGCTTGGGTTTAGTTTTAATTTTATTGATTATAGGATCCCAAGCAAGTGGTAGTACCCAGCCTCCTTCTCTGTTTAAATTAGGATGTTTTTTAATTTCAATAGCCTCACGTATCATCCATTGGTAGGAATCGGTGTTCTTTCGCGAGGATTTGTAGTCTATCAAATCTGATGTAATGGTTGGGGCCGTCTAGTATATGATCGCAAACTACAGACTTCACGGAACGTTGATGCTTCACATCAGCTATATGTTCTTTAAAAGAACATATAGCTGATGTGAAGCATCAACGTTCCGTGAAGTCTGCAATATGAATATGTTCGTCTGCAGAAAGATAATTTAAAATAAACAATAATTAAAAAAGCTGAAGGTACTCCGGGCTTAACAATGACATCGGGACGTCAGTATCTCAATCCCCCGTGACCATGGGTGCTGGAAAGCGCCCGAAACGTCGGGAATTAAAAATAAAAGTAGTTTTAATCAATATTGTGTAACTGGTTTTTATAACATACTAAACACTTTCAATATTGTATGTGTATTCAAGTTGGATTATTCTAACAAAAAAACACAAAAGTTTTTCTAAAACAATATCATTTCTACCACGCCAACAATCAAACATAATTAAGTGACAATTTATGTATCAATTTAGAAGTCACCAGCTCATAAGCATCAAGTTCTAAGCTCATAAGTATTTAAATGGTTACTAATTGCTCAAGTAAAAACGTAACACAATGTGTCATAACAGATAGAAGCAAATAATTTTATAATCGATAAGAACACTAATAAGAAATCATTAAATAGTTGTGTGAATTTCTAAACGATAGAATATCAAATAAATATCCATCTATGTATGTTTACATTACGACCTACATTTCACCTCATTATTATACCCTGACACAATTAGACTCTGACTTCTGTTAGGATTAAATAATAAACTTTTTTGTATTTACATATGCGGATGTAAACAACTTTACGATCGGTCTGTATCTAATTAAACTCTGGTAATAATTATGTTTGTTTTAATCTTTAACGTTATTTCTTTAAAGATGTAATAACCATGAATAAATTTATCTGCAAGTTATCCGAGCTTTATATTATTAGACTTGAATGTAGACGATCCTATTGTTATTCGATAGTATTGCATTATCGCAAGCAATTATAAAACTTTTCCACTGTAAATACACAAATCTGAATTTTAAATTACCTCTAGCGTAGTTCATAACACATCATTAATTGCCACTAAACACTGATATATAAAGTAAATATTTACTTACGATAACGAATTCATCGTTTGGTATATTAGTTTAAAATAATGCAACATTTTCATTACATTTTAAAAGTAAATCGACACAAACAACTGATTGCACAGCAATGATAACATCTTTAATAAAATAATTTATGTGATAAATGAACATAACACTGTTATATTTTATACTTTGGAATAATAAATCCTGCTGCATGGACAGCCCAGACAAGTGACAAGTATTCACCGTAGCATGACTTGTCTTGCAATCAATGCCCTGCATCTGCAATCAAAAATTTGCCTAATATTATAGATATTTATTTAATTATTGGAATTGTCTCCTCCCCCTCCCCCCACACACACATATAATTGACTTTAATTGAATGGTATTGAAATGAAAATCTAATTAAGAGATATGCTGCAAAATTATTAAAAAATTCGTAAACTTTTTCTTTGCTACCGTGGATGCTAACCGGATTCTACCGCAATATATCACAAACACACTACGTTTATTGACGCTTAACCATAGTTCGCCAATGAACTTAGTGGAGTTTGGTACGGGTTTGTTCCTGAGTAAAACCCCTTCGGAGGAGACGCCGCACGACGTGTTCTCCACATCGGGGTACGTGAGCCCACGTTCCGCTGCCAATGCCAAATTGATGTGCCAAATCTGTTTTGTGATGCCTTAAGGACCCAATATTGAACTCCAACTGTTAATATTAGTTTTGCACGCTGAATTAGATAATGGAGTACCAATCATGTACTCGTAAATTAACACTGAACAAGTGAGAAAAAAGTTTCTAGATTTTTAAATAATTTTATTCCATTCGTGATGTAAACTGAGTTCTTTCATTGTGTTTTTATTAAACATCAACAAATTCAGCGTGTATGTATAGAATATAGTTAAAAATTAGCACAACATGTTATAATATTGAGCTAGATTTATCTTATTGTGTCAAAATTTTCGGAGATAAAATTGGTTAAGTGTTAATTATCAATAAATGAAAAAAAAAATAGAACAAAAATCATCATTCTCCTGTGTTTCATTTTGCGAAAGTCTTTAGCAATCTCATACAGTATCTATTTCACTTAGCCAGTTTATCAAAATTATCTAAATTAGCGTGTTGTGGTCCAATGCACTGTCTCTTCCATAACCACTGTTTTTGTACTTAAGGTTTCTCCACCGATTGTGTCCGTTACTTCTATTATAAACGTTTGAATTTTAGATGTACAATCCAGAATTCAACTGTTGCTTGTCTTTTTAAATATATCGACAGGTTGCATGTTTTATTGCGTTAGGGGAGAATTTTGAATGAATTTGTGATTTGTATCATATTCATCTTCTAAATCGTTACATTGTTGGTGCACCGCTATACGACACACTTCTTTTTTACTTCTGGCATACGTATGTGAATTGTAAATCAAAATTAGTAAACGTTCTTGAAATGCCTATATAAATTGACGTTTTAATGCATGTTCAAAAAAAGCTTTCTAAATCTTGTCGCAATAGCGTGGCGCTAGCTTTAGGTTCCATGTGAATTCTCTTATATCAACAAAGGAAGAATGGACTTTTGTTTTGTTATAATATCATCGTAATCAGTCACACTACTATCATCTTATTGGCACCCTTTTATTAATGTAACCAATTTTACTGCATTAGCATGTTTGTTACTGTTTAGTCACGGTGTGATTTTCTTCCGTATCACGTAATACTTTTAGATAAATAAATGTTTTTCAAATATTTTTTCACAGGTACAGCGAATTTGGATTACCAGTCTGTTTACTGCCTTATTGTTTTATTTAGATAAATATTTCTTACTTACGCTCTGATTTACAACTTCATATTTATGTGTTTCATGTACTAATTATCAATATACTTAAGTGTTATAACGGGCACGTTCCAATATAGAACCCAGTGTACTGTCCAATGCAAATGACGTCATGAATCGACGCTATACTGGTGATTCGTTCCAAAACATAGGACAGTATATGATGTCATACATTTGCGCCATCTTGGAAAAGTATTGGCGTTTATTTTGTCGTTTTGTGCTCTAAAAATCCTCCTAATGAAGATACCGACAATTATTCTATAATTTCTTGTAAACTAAAAAATAAAAACAAATTCTGGCATGCTTCATTCAGCGCACACACAATTAAAAATTGTTTTATTATGGCCGGATATCCGACGCAATATGGCGGCGGCACGCTAGTACGATATAGTATAGTGTCAATTGATGACGTCATTTGTATTCGGCAGTATACTGAAAACGTTTCGGAACGTACCCAACATATTGTTTGTGTGCAGACGCAGTTCGTTGGGAGGCTTCGCCCGTTCTCATACTAAATCGACTTCGTCAAGTGGCTCAACACATCCGAGACTTGATTACCGCAGCATGGTATCCGTCGACGATATGCCCGATCTCTTCGCTTCTTTTGATAGTAAGATATTTCAACGAGTAATGTTAATATACTGACCACAAATCGAATTTGGCCTGGTCTGGCCATTACTAAAAGTAAGTGCTAAACCGTTTTGGTTACTTAATGCAAAATTGAAACACAAATTGCGTATTGCTCTTGAATTTTTTTTTCAATCAATAAAAATATATTTTTATATAAACTTGATGCTAATAATATATAAAGACTATTTGCGCTCTCTTCTCCGCTGCATGCATATTTGTCTAGTGCGAAGAAAGCGTCCAACGTTCGGTAGACGAATAGTTACTTCGTTTGAAACGTTTTTGTTTATCGTTAGGAAATAAAGGACCTAAATAAAAATGTAGCCAATAAAGAATCTAATTCACACCTTTTATATTACCAAACAATATTTTATGGTTATCGCTTAAAAAAACGAGAGCTAGAACGTCAAGTTTTTTTCTCGGCGACTAAATTATATTTTATTAATGATTTCTTAAATTTACGCGAACACTACACATTGAATAAAACTATTATTTACGGATTTTATCGCGTTTAATTACTTTAATTTATTTTTATTATTATCCCGACGTTTCGGGTGCTTTACAGCGCCCATGGTCACGGGGGGGGGACTGAGATGTTTGACGTCCCAATGTCATAGTTAGTCCGGCTACCTTCAGTTTTTTAATATTAATTTTTGGTCCGATTTACGCAAAACGAGCTTATAGTATCATGAAGTCTTGCAGTGGTATGCTTGGGTTTGGGTTTAATTTTGTTGATTATAGGATCCCAAGCAGATGGTAGCACCCAACCATCTTCTCTATTGAAATTTGGATGTTTTTTTAATTTCTATAGCCTCGCGTATCATGCTTGGTAGGAATCGGTGTTCTTTTGCGAGAATTTGTGGTTTATCAAATCTAATGTAATGGTGGGGACGATCTTGAACATGTTCGCAGACTGCAGACTTCCCGGAGCGTCGGTGCTTCACATCAGCTATATGTTCCTTCACGCGGGTTTTTATAGATCTCTTTGTTTGACCTATGTAAGAGAGCCCACATTCACAATCTAGTTTGTACACACCTGCATCTTGTAGAGAAATATTACATTTGATGGATGGTAAAAATTGACTAATCTTCTTCAGCGGCTTGTAGTATGTCTTAATGGACGCTCGCTTCAAGATGTAGCCAATCTTGTCCGTGACTCCTCCAACATATGGTAGTAGAGCAGGTGCGCGCTCGACTGTTGCCGGCTTCACTCGTTCACTGTGACGTAGGCGCGGGACCCGAAGCTTGTTGTCTTGCAATACTTGCTTGACGTGCTGAAGCTCCGCGGCCAGATGTTTTCTGTCACAGATCCCTCGTGCTCTCTGAAACAAAGATTTACCCACGGTAGCTAACTGTGAAGGATGATGGTGAGATTCACCATTTAGATATCGGTTGGTATGGGTCTTTTTCCTATACACAGTGTGACCAATAGTGTTATCAGGATTTCGGATGACTAAAACATCTAGGAAAGCTAAAGAATTATTTGCCTCTAACTCCATTGTGAATTGTATTTTAGAGTTTATGGAGTTAAGGTGGTCTAAAAATGCAGTTACTTTGTCAGATGGTAAAATTGTGAAGTGACACTTTCACAATTTTACCATCTGACAAAGTAACTGCATTTTTAGACCACCTTAACTCCATAAACTCTAAAATACAATTCACAATGGAGTTAGAGGCAAATAATTCTTTAGCTTTCCTAGATGTTTTAGTCATCCGAAATCCTGATAACACTATTGGTCACACTGTGTATAGGAAAAGACCCATACCAACCGATATCTAAATGGTGAATCTCACCATCATCCTTCACAGTTAGCTACCGTGGGTAAATCTTTGTTTCAGAGAGCACGAGGGATCTGTGACAGAAAACATCTGGCCGCGGAGCTTCAGCACGTCAAGCAAGTATTGCAAGACAACAAGCTTCGGGTCCCGCGCCTACGTCACAGTGAACGAGTGAAGCCGGCAACAGTCGAGCGCGCACCTGCTCTACTACCATATGTTGGAGGAGTCACGGACAAGATTGGCTACATCTTGAAGCGAGCGTCCATTAAGACATACTACAAGCCGCTGAAGAAGATTAGTAAATTTTTACCATCCATCAAATGTAATATTCCTCTACAAGATGCAGGTGTGTACAAACTAGATTGTGAATGTGGTCTCTCTTACATAGGTCAAACAAAGAGATCTATAAAAACCCGCGTGAAGGAACATATAGCTGATGTGAAGCACCGACGCTCCGGGAAGTCTGCAGTCTGCGAACATGTTCAAGATCGTCCCCACCATTACATTAGATTTGATAAACCACAAATTCTCGCAAAAGAACACCGATTCCTACCAAGGATGATACGCGAGGCTATTGAAATTAAAAAAACATCCAAATTTCAATAGAGAAGATGGTTGGGTGCTACCATCTGCTTGGGATCCTATAATCAACAAAATTAAACCCAAACCCAAGCATACCACTGCAAGACTTCATGATACTATAAGCTCGTTTTGCGTAAATCGGACCAAAAATTAATATTAAAAAACTGAAGGTAGCCGGACTAACTATGACATTGGGACGTCAAACATCTCAGTCCCCCCGTGACCATGGGCGCTGTAAAGCACCCGAAACGTCGGGATAATAATAAAAATAAATTAAAGTAATTAAACGCGATAAAATCCGTAAATAATAGTTTTATTCAATATATTTTATTAATCTAGATTAAGATAAAATTTTAAAAATCCATTCGATAATAATTTAATTGAGTGTTTCATGTATGCGCTTATTTTTTTTTTTAAGTATTTACTATTTCAAGAAGTATGAATTCTCGCGCGTCAAAAACGTGTCTAAAATATAAAGACTTCTATGTATACTACTACAGACGGACTCTGCGGCCTTAATACATTGCGCACTAAGCTACGGTCAATTGACCATAACCCTTTTAGTCAACTGCGAGCGGGCGAGAAGACAAGCGTGTTTTCGATAGTCTAACACTGGTTTTATTCTAAGCTTGAATACGTTGTCATTGTTCATGTGTGCACTTTGTCAACGCGATTGGAAGTTTATTTCAGATAAGTATGTAACTTTATTTCGTATTTGTTAAAAAACAGTGACTGCCGTAATTGAAAATAGATCTACCATCTTGCGTGGCGTATTTACCGTGCCAGCGGAGCAGCTACTCGCGCCCGCGCGTTTCACAGCTGTGACACAGTTTTTATTCAGAATTGCCGGTGTTGTAGTATACAAAGAAGTCTTTGCTGAAATAGGATATTTTATCGAACGTGTCGTTTACTTGCGGCGGTGTTGTCGCAGAGCTGATCCCGCGGCCGGCGCGGCCGAGCGACGACCCGCCGCTGTACCTGCGGCTGCGCATGGGCAAGCCGGCCGGCCGCCCGCTGCCGCGCTCCACGCAGCTCATGTCGTACGGCCGTAAGCGCATGAAGCCCGAGTACTGGTTCGGCATACCGAGGAACAGGTGCGTCACCAACTTGTAACACAACCCTCCCCTCCCCCCCCCTACTCTCAATTAATACATATACGTACATATAACTACATACATATATATAAATACATATAACTGCCTTTTTGGTCTAGTGGTTGTAGTAGTGCGACTGCTGATCATGAGGTCCTGGGTTCGAATCCCGGGTCGGTCCAAAAAAAAATTATTATTGTGTTTTCCGTCAAGAAATTCTCAGTAGTTGCCCGGAGTCGGGAAGTTGGCGGTGTCTCACCCCCGTGCCTCGGAAAGCACGTATGGTCCTGCGCCTGATCTCTCTCCGGTCGTGTCGGTTTACCGTCCCATTGGATTATGAGAGTGAGGGAATAGAGAGTAGACCTGTGCTGGCGCATACACTTGGGCACTATAATCCTGTCCTGCGCCGATAGCTAGCCTTGCTTTTTGTTTGGGTGTTTCTGTTTGGGGCTGGGTGTGTCCTATACTATTTCCGTTGAGGCAGGCCGCCGTGGTCGAAATTCGGTCTGGAGGACAATATATTATTATACATATACATACACACACACAAGTTAGGCGAATCATTATGATATTATTCAATACGAAAGTTGTTTTTTTAACGTTATAGTTACGAACCCACACTATAATTTTCTCCTGTATGTAGAGGTAGTTGACATACGTAAATTTAGTGCAATAATCTTACGCTCACCAAATGTCATGTAGGCATTAAGCTGAACTTATTTGTTACTCATCTGAGTAACAAATAAGTTCAAGTCAAGTCAAGCAGTGGCATCACCAATAAAGAGTTGCGATGTTATTATAAGTGTTTCGGTTTCTAGTTTAACATACATATTTAAAAAATTTTAATTCTTCCACTTTTAGGAATATCGGTAGTTTGGCTTATTTCTTATCTAATATAAAATTTATCTATTATTTCAGTAATAAATATTAATCCCTACACGTTTCTAACAAATTAACTTACCCTGCTATGAAATCTGCCAAATATTTTTTCTTATTCCAAAGTTGCACCGCTCTGGTGGCAGAAAAATATTTCGTCGTAATCTTTGATGCCTTCATTGAAACAAGGACAAACATCCAGACCGGGAACAGTTATTTGTAGACCTTACTATGTTCCGTGCGTTATTGAACGCGCAGACCTCCGCGAGACACCTTAATACTAAGCCACTGCGCCCCAAAGCTGCGGAATTATCATTCTTATTTTCTGCCGTATAATTAACCTCACAAGCTTTATATTATGATTCCGTTTTAATTAAATCCATGTCATAACTTGGGTAACTCTAAAGGTTTGACAGTATGTGCGGTGTCCGACTTGTAATTGAATAAAATCGATTCCTACTTAATGTCGATACAGTTTGACTATAACAAATTGACTACTATTACTATAGTTCATAAAAGATAGCTTGATCTCTGCGACAGCTGTCAGTAAAAATCACGCCTATGAAGTCCTGAATTTCTTAGTAGTACAAACAGTACCTAATTAGGTCGGCATGCCCATAAAGTATTACATTGACAGGTACCGTCTGTACTACTAAGAAATTCAGGACTTTTTAGGCGTGATTTTACTGACAGCTGTCACAGAGATCAAGCTATCTTTTATGAACTATAAATACCACTTTTCTTAACTATTAAATTGTATCTTTAACCGAGTTAAAAAAGGAGGAGGTACTCAATTCGATTGTGTTCAAATAGAAAAAAGTTTATGATGATTCTTTTTTTATTTGAAAGCTAATGCCTCTCATGTAGTCCCATATAAATTTGATCAATATCTGTACAGTAGTTTTTCAGTTATCCTTAATAATACGTATTTAATTGACTTCGACTACATTGATGATGGTCTCATTTTATTGATATTGAAGTCGGTTGTAAATTTTTAATTTTACCACTTGTTCATTACACCAGAAAAATAAAACGTTAATCAATAAACAGGCACTCAAATAATAGAAGGAGCCACTGTCTATCCTTTTAAGGATTAAAAATCAAACTGCAAGTAACCTATTTCCACACATTGATTTATTAACAAAAATATAAACTGATTTTCTTATCATTGGGTTTAGTTAAAATTTATGTAGAACTACTGTGAAAGTAAACTCTTTTCGATTGTAAAATCAGAGAAATCGGTTAACTTATTTCATAGTCAAACTTGCACATATGTACATACATAAAAACAGTGTAAAATATATAAAAATACAGCAAATTGATTTGGCACGTATACAAAATATTCTATTCGACTAATTTAAGCCTCAACCGTATTTCGTTGAAACATTTTTCTATCACCAGGGTGGATGATCTATACAAGTTCCTGACTCACTGGGTGCCAAACCGTTACGGGCCGCTTGGAGACGTGGCCGCGCAAGGATACGAACTGATCGATAGCGATACCGAATGGGACGATGAAGACACGAAACCTGGAGTCAAGGTACAACTTTGAAAACGAATTTATCATATTATTAAATAAGAAAACCTGTATAACAGATAATGAGATGAACAAAAAGAGTGTTGGATACTTTGAAGTTATAAAAATAATTAGAAATATCAATACTGACTCATAAGCTTGAATGCCAACCGAAGCAAATATTTTAACCGACTTCAAAAAGGAGGAGGTATTCAATTCGACTGTATATTATTTTTTACGTGTTACTTTAGAACTTTTTTCTAGGTAAAACGATTTTGATGATTCTTTGTTTCTCGTGTGATCCAATATAAATTTGATCAAGATCTGATAATCGGACGCGTGCTCGATACTTAAGTTGTTATTTTTTAATTTTTTTTTTCACAAAAAAAAAATAAGGGGGGGTGGTTCTACGTTTTTTAGCGCCTGTTCTCTTATTTAAAATATTGTGGAAGGGCGTGCCCTTCGATAGTCTAGACCCGCCTTTGATACCGCTGGATTATAATATTTATGACAGAATTAAGTTTATTACTGTTGCAAATGCAAATTTATAGGTATAAGTGTTGGCGTTTGTGTTATGTATGATAATATTTATATTGCTATATTTAGGTTTTTTTTTAATTTTATTAATACTTGAAAAACGTATATTGCTAAATTTGTTTTATTTCCACCCGTTTGTTGTCGTCGTCATAAAACGCGTTCGAACCTAATGGCTTAGTTGGTTTGTCGTTACGCATACAGCTGTTAATTTAAATAACTTGCTAATATCAGTCTTTCCATCCGATTATAATGTCAATGTCTTCAATACAAAAGTGAATAAGCTTTGCTTAAGCTCAGTCAGTACGTATGCTTACTATCTTCGGTTACGAGTACACCACTACATAATATCTAAGTGGGGCAGAGTCAAGCACTGGCTTGTATTTCGTTCATAAATTTTTTACATTAGAATTTTCTTCTGTATCGTGGGAACAGTTTACATACATTTTCACAAGGACACACATCCAGACCCGGAACAATTATATGTAGGCCATACAAATACTTGTTCCGTGCGGGATTCGACCCCACTGCCCTCAGCTCTGTTACTCATTGCTAAGCTATTGCGCCACGGAGCCGTCAAGCCGTCAATTAAAAATAAATGTTTTAATTATCATAAATGAAGTTAAAAAAAAACTGTAAGAAGACAATTATTAATGTTTTCGTTAACCCAGTGTTATCTTTAAGGAAAGCTTTACAACTTTTCTATGTAGCTTCAGGTGCTATGACGCCACAAACACACATATACACAGTTACACACTACACACTTATAATACTCCTTTGTTTTCGTCGGGGCTTAAAAATAGCTCCATTGGCCCTGAAATACAAAAGAAAATAACATATTAGGTCGGGAAAAGTTATTTCATATTTTATATACAAATCCAAGACATTTTTTTCCAAGTTTAATTACATTTAATTATAATTTATGTACCATTTTGTTTGATAATTGTTGCCATCTGTAGGTAGTGACATAATTCCGTTGCTGTAGAAATCTTGGGATTTTTGATCAAAAACAATGCGATAAGTAGTTTTGACAGTCCTCTCTTGATATTAACCTAACACTACCAAAAGAATTCTGAAGAGACCGAAACAGGCGAAAATCTGAGGAAAATGCTAGGCCAGTACTACGTAGTGGACGTATCAACACTTCCCAACCAAGCTGTCTTAATTTTTGTTATCTTGATGAAAGACATCTCCTTTTTTGTTTATCAATTCCGACCGTTTTTCTCAATTTCTTGCTTGGGTCTCATTAGTTGTTGGCAGTAGAGATCCGAGTCGATGGTTTTGCCCGGCGGTATAAGCTCATTATAAACGATGCCCTTCCAATCCCACCATAAACACAGCATCACCTTATTGCGCGTTAATCCGGGTTTCGTTACAGTGTGTAGAGCTTGACTACCCTTTTGACCATGGTCTTTTCGCACGTTCTTATCATAGGTGATTAACTCTTCATCATCATTGATCAATATTTTTAAAATTGTTTTGTTTCAATACGTTTCTATTGAGAATCGCAAATGAGTGTTCTATTCATTAGGTTTCTGTGAGCTTGTGTGGTACCCAAATATCGAGCTTTTTTGTAAAGCCGGTTTTTTTTTCAAATGGGGCAAAACTGTTGTGGTCGATCTTCAATTCCTCGGCTATGTCGTTACTACTAATATGCCGATCTTACTCCACTTGTTCAAAAATGGCTTCTACTTCATCCATATAAGGACGACCAGAACGAGCTGCATCTTTGACATCAAAATTCCCGGCAAAAAAACGCTTAAACCAAGTTTGTGTTACTCTTACTGCCACTGCATAAGGTCCATAAACGTCATAATTTCGCGGCTCGAGTCGCATTTTTCCCTTTTTTGTAATAAAATTTCAGAATACATCAAATTTGTTCGTTAGGTTCACTCATTTTGGCGAATAGAAAAACAATTGAAAAGTGGCGGGAAAGTTTTTTTTACTTTTTCTTAATGTCTTACATGTATTGATATTAAAACCAGGCGGATATAAACATTACAACCAAAGAGATTTTTCTTCTATTTTATACAAACAAAATACGAAGAAACTTTTTCCCCGACCCATTATTGATTTAACTTCATTACAAAATGTATATGCATACATGTATACAAAGACGTCGACTGAAATAATAATAGGACGGTTGAGTTATGTAATTGTGTATAAATCTACACAATCCCTATGTTGATGTTGTTTGTACAAAGATCACTATCTCGTCACCATCAGTCGAGATAAATCCACTTATTATTAATATGAAAACCTATGTTAAAATTGTTTTAATTGTATCGCGTCTCCATTATTTAACGTGTTATTTTTGGCCGCAGGGCGAACGCACCGACAGCACGGGCGATGTATCAGACATTACGAGGGAATCGTGGGAGGTAAGTTTTATAATATACATTATAAAATATATGAAATGTTTTAATAACTGTACTCAACACTTTTTGTGATTAATAAATAATAATGCTTTATCAAACAATGAATTTGTTGCACATTCCATATTACAGTACACGTGAAAACATAACATAAAAACTAAGTACAAGTTATTTATGACACCATATCTGAATGTTACTTAATCTTAAAGGTAATTAACGCATACGATAATTTTCATTTACTTGAATCGAACAAAACGAAGCTATAAATTACTCCCAAAGTTGTACGACAGTTAACAAAAAATAGTTCGGTGAAGCTCGGTTCCTGGCACTCCTTAAAACTGAAGATTATAGTTGACTTGTGCAAATACGACTTAATTTCATTGATAAGTAACTAACGCGAAGTATTTACACATTGAAATAGATTATTTTGTCTTGTCGTATCTGTGTGAGTTATGATAATTTATAGCGTGTATCACGATCAATACAGATTGATTTAGGAATACGCAAAACACCAACTTCACAAAACATACAAATGACCTTCAGGTGCTCACAACGAAAACAATAAATCCCACGGAGTGTGTACTAATTATTTATGCGATTGCGCATAGTTGCTGAAGGCGCCGTACGTGAAAATATATTCCATAATGAAGAGCCAGGCCGAAGCATTGGGCGACACTCTCGGGGAAGAGCCGCGCCCCGAGGTACCACGCGTCCCACCGTGAACGCATTTGCGTGCATGCGTACTCGCACACGTGCGAACAGAGTTTGAAGATTTAAAAAAATCTTATCACAATTACTTGCATGGAAGTTATAGAACAGGAGAACGATCGCCGTAGAAAATAGTGTCCCAGAAATATGGACACCATAAGTGAGGCGCTGCGATCGCTAATTTCGCTCAATAAAAGTCATTTTCAGTCTATTTTTCCGATCAGATGCTAAACCACTTGCACATCCACGCACAATAAAATATTTCTCCATTTTTAATGTTTTTTTTTGTCAAATATTACAAAATTATTGAGCATGAAAGTTTTCTCCCCAATACTCATAAACAGCTAACTTCGCAGTCACTTCTCACCGACGTCAGCGCCGCTATAAATTCTACAATTTGCAAGGACAGGCGGGCTATGCTTTAGTACGTAGCGATCGTTCTCCTGTTCTTTAACCTCCATGGTTACTTGTCTGTTTTATTATTAAATATTTATATGCTTAACTTATTATTTATTGACTTCAAGTTCTGTTTGCCGTATTATCGTTTTATGTAGCGCGTAAATCGCACTCTAGTGAGATGAAAATGCACTATTTGTACAACTCTTCTATTCCAGCGATTTATCAATAATGGCTAAGTAGGTTAGTTATATTATTAATATTTTCGCAATTTTAGAAAGCTATATGAGTGTTTATTAGCAAGTGTTTAATACAATGATATAAGTTAAATAGCAATAATTTTATACGGCTTATGGAGTACTTTAAGTGTGTGATAAGATTTGCTAATATCTTATATCCGTTTTAAAGTTATAAAATATTGTCCACAGATAATACACAAATTATGTGGTAATAAAATTTATAATATATTTATTCAGTTGTTACTAAAGATTTTTGACGATATGTAGGTATGATTAAAATTCAATTTTCTGTTCATGCCTAGCTTAGGATTTTATCTAAAGATAATTAAGTATGTCGTTAGACGATATTGCCTTGCACAAACACTGGTCTGTGAACAATGGGCCGTGGCTGGCTGCTGTTACTTTGTCACAGCTCTTGTTAGCGGAATATATGCTATCTTTACGTGACGTTGTCATTTTTAACTAATGGGGCTGTGTTTATGTGGCTACTTAAAATTTTTACTGGTTAAATAACAAAAAAATACTAGATTATCGTGGTGCAACTGGTTTTTAAGAGAAGTCATTTAATGAAATAGCTCACAATATTATTTAATAATTTTAACAAAATAATGAAAGGTGACGTTACAAAAATAATGAAGATAACGTCTCTAAAACAGTATGAAAAAAACCCCTTAACCTCCGCTTAGAATTTTAAAACTACTTACACTTAACACGAGTTTTGAGCAGGTGTCACCATCGTAAGGAAATGTTAGCGTTTTCCTGGTCAAGTCGTATAAAGACATCAACAACCTAGTAAACCGCACTCTGTTAAGCCGAGGGAATCATTACTGCCGTATAAAACAAGAAACATCATTAGTAATTTATACGTTCGAATAATTATTAATAAAATTATACTAATTCCGATGGACTGTTAAAGATCTTGAGAAAAAAATCATATATTTGTGCATTGCCAGCATTGCGAACATAAGGGCTCCCGGTCTGTTGTGGTTTCTAAATTAAATTCTCGCGTGAACTTCTGTAGCGACAGTAATCAATTACATCCATACTTATCATCAGGTTACGGTACCTACATATGTTTAAGTATAAATTAGTGTGTTTTATTGTTTTTATGTGCGTAACTCGAAAATTTTATGAATCATTTTTCTTTGTAATACAAATTTTTATTCCTATTTATGAAATTACCATTCTATGTGGAATACTAACATTTATTATGAATAACTGTCGAAATATCATTTCCCTTCGTACTGCGCAAATAATTTAAGTGTGCAGTTAAATTATTTGCGGGTGTGCAAAAATGTTTAAGTTGTATGATGATTGATGACTTTACGTTTTGATTGCATTTTTCTAAAATAATTAAATTCATCATCTTAAAATGTTATAATGGTAAAATTAATATTGACTTTTGGATAATGAAGTTATAAGTAACCTTAATTCTATACTTATGTTTCGTGCATACTATCTAATTAAAGTATCGACTATTATTATCGTTGATCTTTGGCATTTTAATGGAAGTTCATTGATGTCTCTGCTGAATTCGATACCTATAATATGCGTTTACTATTACCTCATCGAAGTTAACTTTATACCCCTGGAAAAAGTTATCTAATTTAGGAAAAATGCCAATTTATATACAGAGTTACAGTAGTTAGAGTATCTATGTCTTCCATATCTAGATCTTCTTCGATACTCCCCAGCCTCCAGAAACCTATGATAAACTCGCTGCACCACAGAACGGTTCAGATTTAACTTTACCTAAGCCTTTTTTGCAGCAAAGCCACAACTTGAGTCGCCTCAGCTTCAGTAGTGTTCATTATTGTTAGATAAAGTAATCAAAACTACAGCCTAAATAAATAAACTTAACGTTATTGAAAAGAAATCCCTACAAAAGTCTGTTTCGGACTGAAGGAAAGGTTATAATTTGTTCCGACGTAAAACAATCAAAAACACAAGCAGTCAACAGTATTTCTGTATGAAAATTGTTAAGTACCTTCAAGTGCAATAAGTATGACAATAATTATGACAAACAAGATGTCAAACATCATATCCGACCCACAAAATAAAAACAAATGTGTGAAACAGCTTATCTGTGAAACACTCGATAAATATAAAATAAAAAGTGAGTGGTTCGATTTTCTGATGACCATTGCATATCTACAGCACTGTAATAATATCTATACAGTCATAGATGAATGATTGGTTTCGCTGCGCTCGACCAATCATTCATCTATGTATACAGTATTGTAACTCGGCCGTGTCTTTGAAATAAATGCCTACAGCCGCGCCGTACGTAAACATGCGATAGGACATCCTGCCTCCAGCATTTTAAGGTCTGTTTTTTTTTTGAGCACGAAGCAATTAAAGGGCTACACTATACGTAGGGAGGCGGAAAATGTATTACGCATACCACGATAGCCGGTCTATCGTGGTTATGAGGGACTCACTGTCCTACCGGGGACCCTAAGTGATACCCTCTAAAAACCGCTTTTGGGGACAGGCAACCGGCTGATTAATCTGTATTGTGCCTTATCGTGAGCGACCCTCTTTTGGGAAAAGAGGGCGCAGTGTCTGTTTTACATACAACTACCGTTTTATACTTCATTTGGAGCCCGGTTTCGCAGTGCTTCCTAGCATGAGTGTGGGCCACCGTGTGTGCGGCCTTCTAGGAAAGGGCTACGGCCACCTTCACCGAACACGTTGGCCAATACCCAATCTGTATGTACTTTACCCAACAATTACTTTTGTTTGTATGAGAAAATTGCCGTTTAATTACATTTGCCTGCTTTGTGTTTCCATTTAGTTTTGTGATTGTAAATATACAATATATTTTTATATAAACAAATATAATAGGTACTTTGTGAATTGAATAGGAAGTGTTCAATAAAAATGCGTGTCGTTTTTTGATTGGTAGATTTAATTAAAAAACCATTCTTAATTACTAATTAAAAATTCTTAATTAATAAACATTCTTAATCAATAAGAGAGGTAAAAGTTACATTCACCCCACCTAGGGGTTAATGCAACTATAAGTTATTATACGCTGATGTAATTTATAACTAGATGTTAGGGTTAAGAATATATGTAATTTCACCATAAAACTATTCGAAAATTGTGTCTAGCCGGTAACAGGTAAAAGGGCTTAGTTTCCAAAAAACCGTTTTTTAATTTTTTTGGGGCGAATGTGTCTGTGCTCCATACTGACTAGTGCTGTAATAGGTACATATTACTTATCGATAAATCTTCTGGAAACAGATTAGCAATGACAGTGATGAAGTAATCTGATATTTAGGTAAAAAGAAAAAGTGATTCCTGTTTTTATCTTGTACTTATTTTTATTAAAAAAAAGTCATATACTATGTACGGATTGCATGCCAGTTTATGGGTAATTTCTACTGGTTGTGGTTTTTTTTATGGACAACCAGTTTCTTTTGCGAAAACCACGTAGCCATTCATCACCAGGGACATCTTCTTTAAATGGCGTAATTATACCATTCCTTGTAACGTATTCTGACACCGATGCCTCGACTTCTTTTGTTGTCAAAGGAAATCCGTTTTTTTTTCATTTTAGTCAAATAGGAAGATATTTCTTGCTCAATCTATCGTGAAAATACAGTATCTTTACAAGTGTTTACCTGTTTTTGTTCGCGCGTAGCGTATACACATAAG